ACATGGTCAGACCACCGTGGAATCACCGGATTGAGTGCTATGTTACCACAAGCAACCGGTCATGTAAATACCGGTCAAAAATACCGTTGCAATGGTCTAGATACAATTAATCATAATATCCTCTAAATTTATGGCTTTCCCTTGTAGGGCTCATAACTTTGTCAATCTTAACCATTTTACATGATCAGACCACCGGTGGAATCGCCGATTGAGTGCTATGTTTACCACAAGCAACCGGTTACATAAATACCGGTCGTTGTTGCACCCCATAATACCGGCCACCCTCTCCATTGCACCCTATCATGCCGGCCCACCCGTCTTCATTGCACCCCATATCACCATCACCGCCCACTCGTCTTCATTGCACCCTATATCACCCCCACCGCCACTCTCCATTGCGCCCTATAATGCCGGCCCACCCGTCTTCATTGCACCCATATCACCGGCCCACTCGTCTTCATTGCACCCCATATCACCTCACCGCCAGCTCGTCTTCATTGCACCCCATATCACCGGCCGACTCGTCTTCATTGCACCCAATAACACCGGCCGACTCGTCCTCATTGCACCTCCTCCTTACCCAACCCCACCCTTCACCTGCTATAAAAACCCCGTCCCACCCGTCTCCATTGCACCTGCTATAACCGGCCCACTCGTCTTAATTGCACCATAACCAACCTTCCTACCACTTTACCGGCCCACCCTCTCCATTGCACCTGCTATACCGGCCCACCCGTCTCCATTGCACCTGCTATAACCGGCCCACTCGTCTCAATTGCACCCTATTCTCCCCCCCCTCGTCTTCATTGCACCTTATGTACCCCGGCCCACTCGTCTCCATTGCACCTCATTTACCGGCCACTCTCTCCACACACCCCAGTTCCCCGGCCCACTCGTCTATATTGCACTCCATTCCTCCGGCCCACTCATCTATCACACACTGGATTCACTACTACTATTCATATTTCCTATATAGTACATTGCTATACTACCATCTATACTATAACACCCACCCGGCCCATCCGTTTGCCTTGGATACTCCACCCCCTCGGCCCCACTCGTCTAACATGGTACAATTATTGCCATGGGCCGGCACCGGGTGGCCCGTCTCTATTGGTACATTGTCACGCCCGGCTGCCCGTCTCAGACGGGTATATGTTACTGCATTATGTGTGAATCATGTATCTGACTGCAAGATATCATTAGTAGGTGAGGCATTACAAGGGTGCAAGTTGAACGTAGCGATACGGAATGAAATGACGAGGATACTAGTATGTACTACGATGCACAAAGAACAAAAACTACGAAATTAACGCGCCTGTCATTTAAAAAAACAGACCTGGTCACTGCGAGATAGCCTATGCCGACTCTCAAATTACTCGGAGGTTGGCAAGATTGAGCATAGAGTAATGGGAGTCCCACGGATTGATGTATTCCGCGAAAGGGTCATCGTCCTGTATCTTGTCGCGCCACAGGACATCCGCTTCACTGACCGACACAAAGTCTGGTGGAGCGGATATCTTGTTCTCTACTTTGAGGGTAGCTGGCACTCAACTAGTCATAGTACGAAATGATACCGTTTCTGAAATAACAGCAGCGCAGATGTTCATCAACAAGTAGTATAAATGTCGAATGAGTGGAATGATAAACTCACTATAGCTATTGGATTGAGCGCTGGGCTGGGTCGACAGATGAAGTTTGAGTTCAGGGCTCGCAGATTCAGAGTTCATTGAAAATAAGGGAACGGCAGTGTCACTTGCAGGTTCTAGAACAACAAATAAAATAAGCTTGGTTGTCACAATATTTGAGAGACGAACCCTTTTTGAGTTTCTTCTGGACTGCTTTCCTAGTGGCTTCTGATGGTGACGGGGAAAGCAGAGTGTGACTGCGCTTTGCTATAGAAATAGATGAGTACATAATACTATAATTTGAATCACAAATAGTACTCACCGTTCCGGCTTCTCATTGGTGACCTAGTAGGTGCCGCTTTTGCCTTGCCCTTGCCTTTTGGGTCCTTAACGTCCAAATCCGAGGACATATCAAGTTCCATCAATGAACTTGCAAGATCATTGTCCGACTTGATGCTAACTGAATCATCGGTGTCGGACAAAAGGATATCGTTACAATCGTCGCATTCAGAATCCGATCCAGCTATCACGGGTTGAGTGTTCCAAGACTCGTAAACGCTGTCAGGAATCCGGTTCCTTGTGACTAGCGCCAGTAGTATTTCATGAGTACAACTTGAACGAAGCAAAAAATGAACGAGAACGCACCAAACCAAAGATGACAATCACTAACACTTGCTTTGTCCCGGCCCTTGTGTTTCGCAAGATCACTCCCAGCTGGAAACCCCGATATCAACGACTGTTAGCGTTTGTCCGCACTTGTTGAGGAGCCGCCAAATTGGCTTCTCTTCACGTAACGTAGCTGATTGTCGCTTCTCGACTTGACCGTCGAGGTAATCAAAGACTTTAGGAAACCAACTTCGTAACTGACTGGTGACCTTGCGATAAGTCCATCCACATTCGATGACGAACTGCTGTTCAAGGTAACAGCCACGGTTTTTCATCGCCTGGATCTCATTTTGGCCGTTCTTGCTCGGGACTTTGGATACTCTGATAAGACCGTTCCTCTGTCAAAAACTGAGTTAGCGAGTTAATCCGTCTCTCGAGGGCTCTTGACTGACATCAACACCGCAAGTCAACATGGCCACTGATGCAACACGAAATGTGTTCCCCGACATTGAGACACTAGAAGAGGTGTTCCTGCGCGCTTGGCTTCCAACCATTTGTGAGCTGGTGATTTCCTTACGATCCTGAACGCAATTTTCATGTGAATATATATTTTTGTGCACTACTAGGATAACACTTACCTTTCGCGAGCCTGCCGACGGTACTGGGCCCTTGGCCAGCTTATGATAACCGGCAAGCCGAGTTGATGTCAGAGTTGATAACGCTTCCTCTCGAGCACTGGTGAGCGGTACTAGGCTTCCTTGCTTGCCTGTAGTGGCAAGCTTCAGGTTGTCATTGATGGTTTTTCCACCAGTGATTCGAGTGAAAATATCCTTGATAGCGACTGCAGAACTTGGATGAGGTTTTTCATCAGCATCCTCTTGAACTTCCAGTACTGGTTCACGACTTGTTGAAGCTTTGCGGGGGTGCTTACTGCGACCATGGCCACACTCTGCGCAATGGCCTTCATCCTGTGTGCGAGGGAAAAACTCCTCACAGTCACACATTTGACTGTCCGACTTGAGGCCTCTGCAGAAGAGTTCTTGATTCAAGTTGTTGCCTTTGGGATCCATGGCTCGGGAGTCGGAGGGCACTGGTGAAAGGGAATGTGGAGACGACTTGAAGCAGTAGACTCGACGTGCAAATGACCTGAAGCAAGGTAATTACGTAGATGGCCCAGCAGTTTATATACAGCTAACAAGGATATGACATTTTACATTGACGTGTAGTACTTGTTAGTCGCTACTGGCAGTTAGAAAATATGACAAAACTAATAACGCCTGACACCATAATTTCGCTCGATTAAACCAGATCGGTTCAGCAAGTGAAACGTGGAGTTCTTTTGATCCTCGTCGACCAAAGGTAATAGTCTCAAATGTTGGGTATTCATCTCCGTGCCACTCATCTAGCGTTAGTCTGCAATTGTTTGGCGTGATATCATTGGCTATAACTTCATCAAGGGTGGCAGAAAACTGCTGTCGTGTTGCGTCATCAACAAAAGGGTTCTGTTGTGACGGCACGCTAATGGCCTCGTGACGGATCTGGTGTCTTTGCTGGTTGTTGATGGCCTGTACCATAGTACTCGGATGTTCGCCATCGCTATCTGAGTCACTGTCTTCTTCATCAGCGGGGTGTCCAGCTCCTGTTTGATGACGCTGTCGAGTTGTCGTGTGACCATGGACCCCATAGTACTCGTTAATCACGTCAGGATGCACACCTTCACAGTCATCACGATAGATGCCAAACTGCAAGTGCCCTAAAAAACGTAAATCCTATGTGTCCGTCCAGTAATTTGTCAATGTTACATCAAAAATTCAACTGCGAGTTTACCTTGGGACTCTTATTGTTGGTGTCAGGACCGCGAATGGGATGACAGTTCCATTCTGCCTGAAAATTTAAGCAATCCGAATTGATTTCATCAAGAAATAAACTCTGGAGCAACCAGATGTGATTCGCGGCCTGAGGGTCAAGCCTATGATAATTTTCGAGTCGGGTAAAGAACGCTCTCCATCTCCTAGCGAATTGAGTGCCAACCTCAACCCACAAACGTTCGATTCGAGTATTCCGAGTAGAGCTTAGTATGTTGGGTGTTAGTACTACATAACATAAACCAATGGGATCACAACTCACGATCCCCACATGAAGGAGGCATGCCGTGGTCCGTTCTTCATTATCATGTAAGTTGCTATATCGAGATTCTCTCCACCCCGATCTCCTCGCACTCGAGAAGGCGTCCCAAAAACTTGCGTCGCCTGCTTAAAAACGTCCAAAACGGTTGTCGAACGATTGTTATTACTTGCTTGCAATCCCGTTATCTTGCAGAAATACAAATGAGAATCGATAAACTGTACAAACGAACATATCAAACCGTTCTGCAGAAACCGTCAATAAAACCGTGAATCACTATCCCCCAGCGAATTAATTTATGGTGCCCATCGATGTGCCACAATGCATTAGGCCGCTTAACATGATACTTACGCCGACATTTGACCCGTCGGTCGCGCAACACCTGACCTAATCTGTCGACTCTGCAGAGCGATTCTACCACCCATCGATGCTGCACTCGCAGTCCATGCCTGCGGAGAAAACCAATGATGTACCTTATACCTGAATCAGTCGATGCTACACTCGCAGTCCATGCCTGCGGAGAAAACCAATGATGCACCTTATACCTGAATCAGGCCGCTTTTTCTTGAACTCGGTGATGAGAAGATCAAGGTCGATGTTAGTAAGGTTCGAGTATTTTCTTTCAACTCCATAGCGCTTCATATAATGTCATAATGTGTTCCTGTGGACTCCGAGCATTTCAGAAAGCTCAGTAAGTTTGATTTGTCGGGAAGTCGAGACTGCTTCGGTGAGGAATCCAACATCGATCATTTTTTTTGGACGCCCTGGACGCCCTGTGTGCAACAAGGCCACTGGTTCCGGAAACACGACATTTTCATCCATGCTGTTGCACAATCAATGACGCAAAATACATATCAGAGATGGATTACCGATTCTGCATATTGTACTGAAATGACGACAAAAGCACGAAGAGATCTCCCAGCAAATGTGCTGTATGAGAGAGCCAATCTTGCATCTCATGTCCTTGAGGGTCGCGTGCGAGGGCTTCAAGCAATGGGATAGCATCCCCTGATACAGCATCTATATGAAATGTGAGCTGGATTGGGTCGGCATCTTCTTGACTAAGAATACGATGGGCGCGTCGGTAAATATCTGACAAAGTATCGTGGGCAGTGCGAATATTTGCAGACCACGGATTCTGATTTAGCATGCGAGACGGAAATTGGGGCAAAGCAGTTGGTAGCGCAGGCATCACAATAGATTGACTTGAATATGGTGTAGCCACCGTAGCGTTTGATGACCATTGATGACCAAAACGACATAAGCAAAGTGTGCGTGTGAGATGAGGCAAACAACAGTCGCAAACATACGGTTCTAATTATTTCATAGCTGATCTTTGTTCTTGTACATCCTTTCGAATCATCAATATGTCAAAGGCAACTCGACACCCTATTTACTACTTTCATGCGTCAAGCCATATCTTCCAGGTGTGTTTTACTAATTTATTCTTCATTTTGGACTCACAACTTGAAATATTTTGTGCCGGCAGGTTGAGAACATACTGTACAAGCTCTGCAGTTCAATTTTATCTTCGGCTTCCAACGTCTTTCGTGACATATTTGCTCCTACACAGAACAGCGGTCAAATAGAGCTGGACGGCATGAGCGATGACAAGCCCATTCACCTCGAAGGAATATCCCGGGACGCCTTTGAGTTGTTTCTCGAGCTTACCTTCGGAAGGTATGTTGATGCCCTTATTCTTCTATGTAGCCACTTGACAATCTGTACTAGGATACGTGCTGGCTCATATACACTCGACGAGCTTACAAAATTCCTCCATTTCTGCGACATGTACCAATGTTGTCATGCGCGAGAATTTATTGTTTCCCGTGTGTTTGCGGCACATTTCCGCTTCCACCCAGCTCAACTAATAAACCTGGCTATCAAATATCACGTCCGTTCACTTTTCCCATTTGCTTTTCAGCAACTCGCAGAAACTCCCATTACCGAGATCACCCATGCACACCGGGAGCTGATGGGCAACAAGGTCTTTCTAAATGTGGTTTATGTTCAAGCTGCCCTTGATCACCATCGTCGAATTGTGGCTGCGGAGGAACCAAGAATATTGATGCACTCGAATGATTGCGATGACCCGGCCAGTTGCAGCGAGGATTGGCACGCTACATGGTGGAATGGTATGGGCCGTTTTCTTCTCGATGGTAGGAACCCTCAACCATACGGCGATGCCGTCAAACGCTTCAAGGATATGTCGTTTGGCCGTGTCAGCGAGGGCTGTAAAGATCTTATGTTCAAAATTCTCGATGAGGGTGCAGCATTCCGTCACGCAGAACACTTTATTACCGAGGCCTGCCAATTTCTGTTAGAGAAACTGGTATTTGAGCCCTAACATCTTGCTAGTAGCTACTATTGTGTACTGGTTTACAAGGACTTTGGCATGGTCTCGTCATATTTGTAGCAGCTTGAAGGACTCAGCGTCAATACATGTACTGTAGAATATATGTCCATCACTCACAATGAACGGAAGCCGGAATAGAGACTCATTCCTAAGCGTGATATAGTGGCTTGGCCTGCTAGCTGTAGAAACAATCAGCTGATACAAAGACAACGCGCAGATTTGATTAAGAAAATTGGGAGTGGGAAACGGACTTACTCGTCTGTGTTGTGCTTGTAGATATCATCGCTAAGTGTGATATAGTGGCTTGGCCTGCTAGCTGTAGAAACAATCAGCTAATACAAAGACAACGCGCAGATTTGATTAAGAAAATTGGGAGTGGGAAACGCGCACCGCGCAATTTTTGACGAAAACGCGCACCGCGCAAGGTGCGGAACGCGCAAATAATAAATGTGCAGGTGTTACACCATACTACTTGGGGTGTTGAACTGTAAAGTCGATGCAGGGAGCAGAACCTTTATATCTTTGAGGAGCCAGATTTCTGACCCAGTTCACAGACTGACTCTTCGTGTCTTGTCATATCTGATCTGATCTCATATCTTGAAGCTGGTGCTCCCTTTTGACTCACCGTGCGTGTATAATGTCATACAATGACTACAGTGGTATGGACGATCTCTCTTCCCGGACAGTGACAGCTGGAATGGATTTCAGTTGACTTCTGAATGCGACTGAGTCACCGATTGGCGTGCGTTTGGTTGGTAGACCTGCGATATATGTTGTCAGCTCGTTAATTAATAAATTGTGGAGCTAAGGCGTGCTGCTGCACGTGCATCTCGATCTCGCAGTCATCCGCACTAAAAGCCTCATCTGGGTGCAAATGGGTTGTAGTTCGACGCGCGCAGTTCACTCAGACCCCTGCTCGGCCGCTATCGGCACTCTCAATGCTCGCGCACCTATCGAATAACTTAATCCTCTGAACCTGGTAGAATTCAGCGACATGCACGATCTTTCTTCCGGACTTGACGTTCGTAAATATGTCGCCAGATGAGGAATAGCACTTCAAATCTGCAGAAAGCCATGACGCGCATGCACACGTATACGCGTTTAAATAGGAGAGGACAAATCAATATCACAGCAAATCGATGACTCGGAGGACACGTATACGTGCTACATTCTTTAATGTAAACGATGTGTGCGTGGCTGACTCGGACGCCTTCGCTTATCAGGTGTAAGCTTGGCGTACCTGAGTACTTGAGCTTTCATTATCACTGCCTTTTGGCGTAACGGTTAAGGGACGATAGTCTTAACTACTTACATTAGGCTCCTTACAAAACGGTCATCAAAGCTTGCTGCTTTCCTGTCGAAGTCGATGTGTAGAAGGAGTGTATAACATTGTTATGATGTACATAACATCGCAACAGCCTCCTCCTAGATCTGTATGACCCCACTATCACGAGAACTTGAAGCCTATCTTTGAGATTTGAGTGTTGATCGCGGGATGGTCTCAAAACTCAGTACTCAAAGATGAACAGCTCGGTGGACACGAATCCGAGGAACCCACCCGATAACTTAAAAGTCGAGTGAGCGTTGTTGCCAAATAGGCATGCGTTTTGATTGCACGCTTACCTGTATGGAAAGTGGGACCACCGTGCTCTGAAGTCTGTCCCCCCTAGTATGCGACCATTGGCCAACTCGCGATACGGAAGCGATCGAAAACTGTCTGTGTTCAATACTACGAGAATACAGGTCTGAAGTCCGCTAACATGAATCTATTTCAACTTTGCAAACATCTCTCTCGATTGTTCGAGAGTTATACATTCTGTCTCGCATGTCTTTTTCTGTTGTGGTCAGGGCAAGAAGACATTAGCAACGTTCTGAATTTACGGTCAAAAGAAAAAAAAACGCCACCTTCTCGTCATTTGCTATTTGCACGGCAGACGGCACGGTCTCCGTGTAATCAGGCTGTGAAATAATCTTCACGACCTTTTCCAGGTTGAGGCGGGCAAGCGTGAGTTTCTTCTCACACTTGGCTATCTCAGCGTCAAGGTCAACAAGCCCCTTGTCATAGAACGTGTTAGGGTCCATTCATAACGTGGGCCAAACACATACCTTAACCAACAGGTGGACTGTTGTTGTAGAGTTTATGACGGCTGAGCCGCACCCCGCGGGAAGAGCTTTCACGTCCTCAATGACGTCTACAGCACTGCATCCCTTGATCAACGTGATCATGGCTTGCGTCTGTGAGCGGAACAAAGTGACCTCCTTGTCCGTCTGAGAATGAATGAAGACTGATGACACGTCAGTACTAACGGCTAAAGCTAAAGTAGAAGAACTTGCGTTGGATATTGGACTGCAGGTTGTAAGATGCAGCAAGGGACCTGCCTGCCCGCACGGCAGACAGCACTAAATCAAATTCTTTCTCCTCCTCAGAGCTGTTGAAGTCCGAATCCTGCATAAATTCAGTAAAATAGATTTCAATACGGCAGACGATGACCCACGTTCACAGGGTAAGACGATACCATGATGGAGGGGGTGGGATCGTTCGGACGTCTCGGCAGTCGCTGCCACAGTTCCTCGGTAACAAATGGCATAAATGGATGAAGTAGGCGCAGACCGTGATCCAGGCAAGTATATAATGTTTGTTGCGCTGATCTGCGAGTCTGGAGGGGGACCGATGCGTCGGTCAAAGGTTTCATTGCCTCCTGTAGACAAAATATGAGATCGGTACATGATGTTCAAACTTTGAAGCAACCCCACAATGTAGACGTCACAAAGCTCATATAACCAGAAATTGTATGCTGACGTAGTCGCAGCCATGAAATTGCGTTCTTGGAGCTGCGTGTTGATCTGCGTCGCGGCTATGTTGAGCTTGTGTAAGATCCAACGTTCCACAAGGCTTTCATTTCCGGTTGGCTTGAGACACAATATAAGTTCAAGAACCCATCGTACAAGCAACATACCTTCGCAGATCTCTCTGGCGAAAAATCGTCGTCAAGTTTGAGCATCGCAAACTTCGTAGCATTGAAGATCTTGTTGCAGAACTTGCGGTATCCCTCCACTCGCAGGATTTCCAAGTTGATATCCCTGCCTAAACGCAAACTCAGTTACGAATAGTTCGTACCGTGATGAGTACTTTACCGCCGCCTGAGTATGCACAGAGAGCAAAACGCAACCCATCCGTACCACATTCCGGAATGCCCTTTGGGAAATCCTTCTTCTGCCCAGCGATCGCCTTCTGAATCTCCTTCTCATCGAGATTACCTTCATACAATTTCTGGTGGAGTTCCTCGAGTGGCAGGCCATGGATGACATCGATCGGATCAATGACGTTACCGAGCGACTTGCTCATTTTGCGTCCATGAGCATCGCGAATCATCGCGTGGCAGAGCACTTCCGAAAATGGCATCTGACCAGTAAGATAGATGCCCAAGAGAACCATACGCGCAACCCAGAAGAAAAGAATGTCCCAGCCTGTTTCAAGAATGCTGGCAGGGTAATAATTGGAGATGTCGGCAGTCTATTGGTAGACGATTAAAATCCAGTCAGTCTACTAGGGATGAAACACCATGCCTTGTCCGGCCATCCCAAGATTGAGAACGGCCACAGTCCAGAGGAGAACCAAGTATCGAGGACATCTTCATCTTGTTCGAGTGTGAAGTTCTTCCCTTTGGCAAGGATTTTCGCGCGTTCGGTTGCTTCTTCTACAGTCCGACCCACAACCCAGTTCTTACCGTCTTCGGTCTACAGTCAAGAGTAAGTGAGCAAGAAGCGTCGGACTAATCCTTGAAATACGAACATCGTTCTGTTCTCCCTCGATTCGAATGAAATAAGCTGGGCATCGGTGACCCCACCATAACTGTCGTGAGATACACCAGTCTTGTATATTTTCGAGCCAGCGATACCAGTCCGCTTCGCTCTGCTTAGGGCCGATTGAAAGCTCGCCTGCCCTCGTACGCTACAGTGATCATTGAAAGGAATGTGAGTAAGATATAATGCGACTGACCTTGATTGCTTCAGCAGCAAGAGGTTGACAATTTACCCACCACTGAGGCTTCAAGACGGGTTCGATAATGTCGCCTGATTTACTGCAAGAATACATTGTTTTCAATCACCAATTGACTTGGAACCGACGTGAGCACGTACCTGCAAATGGGGATCTGCATGGAATTATCCTTGGTCTCGACATACAAGCCCAAGTCGGTGAGCTTCTTGATAACCTCACGCCGAGCGTGGAAGCGCTTCATCCCCTGGAGAATGAAAGTAATTTTTCATCAAGGCATAGTATTCCCACACAGACGTACCTTGAATTGTTCTCCAGCATTTTCATTGAATGTTCCATCATCGTTCAAGATGTTGATGAAGTCAAGTCCGTGACGGACACCAACCTCGTAGTCGTTCGGATCATGAGCTGGCGTGATCTTCACCGCACCGGTCCCAAACTCCTTGTCAACTTTTTCATCAACGATAATGGGAAGGCGCCTGTTCAAGAAGGGATGGATGGCAAACTTGCCGTGAAGGTGCTACAAACATATTTCAGTCGTCGAGATATTTATCTAACATGAATATTACCTTGTACCGATCATCGTCCTGATGTACTGCGATAGCTGTATCACCAAGCATTGTTTCCGGGCGGGTCGTAGCGACAACAATCCGCTCATCTGTCAATGCAAATAAGAAAAACAACGAAGCAAGAACAAGCAGAACGTGCCTGATCCTTCAATCTGATATGCAAATGAGGTGATGACACCGAATTCAAACCTTTCCTTTGCGTCATAGCCTGGGACGTTAAGCAAGGTGCGGCCAAATAGTTGTTTTTGCTCCACCTATGCAACATAACTTATGTCGGTGGGCAAATGATGAATACATCGACTCACCTCAAGGTTCGAGAGGGTAGTATTCATCTGGACGCACCAGTTAACAAGTCGATTAGCGCGGTAGATGATACCATCCTCGTGGAGCCGACAGAAAGTCTCCGTAACGGCTTTTGATAATGACTGGTGCAACAGTCGATTAGAGATCAGAGATGCAATGAGATTTCACTCACAGGATTCATGGTAAAGGCAACGCGATCCCAGTCACAGCTTCCTCCGAGCCTCCTTAACTGATTGGTGATGCGTGCTTGGTAGCTAACGCAGTGTAAGAACGGGTTCAAATCAAAAGGAAACCACGTACTCGTTTTTCCACTCCATAACCTTGCCCAAAAACACCTCTCGACCGAGATCGTGTCGGGTCTTGCCTTCCGCCTTGTATAACCGTTTTTCAACAACGGATTGCGTCGAGATTCCAGCATGATCAAAACCTGGGACAAATAGAGTGGTCTTTCCAAGCATCCGATTCCTATTGTCACCGTGAGCATTACGATCATATCATATATGAATTTGTATGTACCAGCGTATCAAGCAATCTTGAATGGCAATAGTCAATGCATGACCGATATGTAGGCTTCCGGTGACGTTCGGAGGAGGCATCGGAACCACAAAGACGCCCTCTTGTTTAGTCTCGCCATTCTCCGTGGTCTGAGGCTTGAAGAAGCCCTGGGCCTCCCACCAATCGTACCAAGCAGACTCGACCGCAACAGGATTGTACCCGCTTGCCATCGGTTGAGACATGTCTGTACAGCGTCAAGAAAAAAATGAAAGAAGCTGATGAGATCGCACCTTTTTTCTCGCCCTTGGGAGTGGTGTTTACGAATGCAGGCTCCTGCTCCTTCTTTTCTTTGTCCGCCTTTGCCTTCTTTTCTCCAGCGGGAGTGTTAGCGGCTTGCTTGATATGTTTGGCAGCCAACTTCGCCTCTTTCTCTAGCCTCTTGGCCTCCTTTTTCGCTGTATCCGACCGCCGATCAGAATTTCAAACTAGTAGTGATAATTGTCTACTTACCTGCACTTTTCGAAGGACCATCGGGGGTGATCAGGCCAGGGTCGTTCGGGGTCGTCGCCATTGCTGCAGATCGAATAGAATGCAATGATTGTAGTGGATGAAAAGAAAGACCTCTGACTTTCTGAGTGACTATATATCGATGCCTTGCTATAAACATCCACCTGCAGTCAGATTGACTCGAACAAGCTATGCTCAATCAATATGTTACGTAATAAGATCGAATGCAATGTTGAGGCTCCTTGTTTTACTATAGCCGACTCTAACCCATGAACCCGTCATATTTGCGATTCACCTTCGGGCATCGCATGTACGTTCTTGTAGTGGTTCAACGCGTTCATGATGATGCGGTATTGAAATTGACACCAGCCTTTAAATTCCCATCCTCGCACCTCTTCCTCTCACAATCTTCTTCTATTTCTAGCTTGGGCAAACAAGATTTTGGCTGAGCCTTAGACCATCCAGGATTTCCTGTTTCACAGCGCCTTTCAAAGAAGAACCGACTATTTTCATTCGTCTAGGGGAGACAATGTCTCCTCGATCTCGATACCAACAAGAGTCAAATCGAATGCGCTATGCCGACTGCCCAGCGCCGATATGAAGAGTCAGCGAGCTCTCTTTCACTCCTCATGTTCACCTCCAGTGGTCCATGTCACTAACAATCACCCATCTCATTCTCAGCATGAGAGACAAATCTTTTTCTGAATATGTCGAGCAGGAGGAAACACATCGAACAGCGGGGTCTACAGGATCCCTTTGGCTAGAGTATTGCAAAATGCGACAGCTTGCAGAAGACATTCTGTGTACCCCATCACCCTCAGTCTCCGCTCCTGCAGGCCATGCCGAATGCGTTCCTTCCCACTCGCGAATGCTTCAACCCAACGCCTTTTGCCCCCCGTGAGTTTCTCTCCATGTCTGCTTCTCCGACTGAGCTGAAGACGAACGGGCACAAATTGACTAAGGAATGATGAGTCCTTGAGGACGCCACTGAGCAAGAGGACAGCATCTTCCGCTGCTTCAAAGTCTTGGGCGGCGAGGAACTGTTCTACGGAGGCCGTAAGCCAGTCAACGTCTGGCAGATCGAGTTCCAGTCCGAATTTGCCATCCGAGTTCCAAATCAATCCTTGATCGTATGGACTAGTAAGTCCGTCCATGCCCGTAGACACAATCAATCAGAGAGCAGTGCGTATGTGTGCTTGGCAATGCAATCGTGATGCTGCATCCAAATCACCAGTCTTCACCATTTGGCGATGCAAAAATTGACACTGTTCCAAGGCCCGACGAAGATACAGGGTCTGCCACGACCTCCAGAAGTTCCACCTTGATGTGCTTGCACGAAGCATATTCATCACACATGCATCTTTCCAGGAGAAGTGGATCAACACTTTCCCATATGCCAATGCGCCATCTTCGAGTGTCAGATTCCCTTCCATTTCAAAATATGCCTTGAACATGTCTCGCACTTTTTGCATGACGACACAGGGTTCATGTTTAGCGTCCGCAACATGTTGGGCATGAACTCCAGTGCCGCCCTGATGGTATCAGGATCGATCGAAGTCTTCAGCATCCATTCCATTCCATCTGCAGTGGAAACTTCTTGATGCTGGAGGTGAAGGATGGCTAGGATGGCTCGGGTGGCTTGGATGGCTATGATGCCTTGGCTGGCTAACACCGATTCGATTGATTGGATGAATTGGGTGGCTGCCGTCAAGGATGACTGTGGTAGACACCTCTGGAGTACCAGTATATACCTCTTGACTGGTTTATGCCACTCGACTGGTAGATTGGGATCTACCTTAGATGCCAAGATGGTAATGAGATAACAAATGCTGCTGAAAGCAGTTGTTGAGATGGCGAGGATGGAGATGGTTCGCTGCTGCGTCCACATCCGAGCTGCAAGGGACAGACTGAACAGAAACAAAGAGGTCTTGAGAAGGTCGAGGAATGACTGTAGCATAGTTTCAAAATGCCACCTTTTTAGCGCTTGAAATTGGTTATGCCTCTGCTTGCATTGCTCTTCAAGCGATCCACGGCGGTTGATGAGCACAGTGCCAGTTGCAGAGAACAGACCAGCCTGGTTACTCGTGTTGTACGCATCTACTTAATTTCAATGAATTTCGTGTGGTTTGGTGTAGAAATGGCAACAGAATCATGATTAAGAGGGATATGAAAGATATCTATGTGTCCGGACCAAGAGAGTCGTCAAGTCTACCACCGATCTCTGCCACCGCCGTAACTGTCGTGACCACCTCCCCCACCGCCGCCACTGAACCTTCCGCCTCCACCACCACCACCACCACGCCCGCGACCTCCGCCGCCATAACGACCTGGAATTTCAAGTCAATACAACATGGGACATAAGGACACCAGAGGAACTTACTGCGACCTCCGCCTCCTCCACTGTACATCGCCATTTCCTCTAGCTGTGGTGGAACATTGGCCTTCGCCTCACGCAGGATGGATATCAACTCGCGGGCAGACTTCGAGTTATCGGTGGTGAAGTATGTGTATGATGTACCTTTCATGCCGGCACGCTAAGCAGGATCAGGACCAAGAATTAATGTGCAAAGTGAGAGCAACTTACTCCCGTGCGACCAATACGGTGGATATAATCTTCGCAATTGTTAGGAAAGTCGTAGTTCTAAAGGGAGTCAGCAGCTGATGTGGTAATGAGTGATTAACCACTCACAATGACATATCCAACATCCTTGACATCTGTGATGCCAGCAATGTAATGCAACCGCGTCACGTACAGAACAAGAGGACAACATATAAACGGACAACAAATGAAGCACATTGCACAATCAATAACATGACAACAACAAAGAGACACAAGCGCGTCCAACATGACAGGAAACAAAGATCGGATACAAACATCATTCATGGCACGTCACAAGATCGGGGGACGTAGAGCATGAACAAAGGGCATCGCGGTCCAGGAAGACAGATACCAAGCGCGAAGCAGCGGACATATCGAGAGGAGATATAGCCAGGAAGTCCAGGATGACGGTTTCACATCCAAGACCATAGCGTATTGAATCCCTTCCTCACTTCACGAGGACACGGGATGCTTTGGCGGATGGAACCTTGACGACTTGGAATCCTCTCGTGATCACGCGGTTCTTGCTATAGCACGTCTCGCTCGAGAAGAGATTTATCCCTCAAGCCTGGCTGTAGGCACGGAGGAAGAGCAGAGCAAACATGTCTCATCCCGGCTTGCTACACGCGTTAGTGAACACCAGTGTAAGGAGCAAAAATAACCCAAAGAGGGGCGGGTCATTGCTACTTTAACCTGAGTGCTCGAGAAGCCCTCCATTTGTAGGAGCCTTTGATGGAGCGCTTGCAAAATATGGCACACGTACCTAGACCACGGGAAGCAACGTCCGTGGCAATCAATATGGGCGAGCGACCCGCCTTGAACTCCCCGAGAACCCAGTCACGTTCCCGCCTGTGGAAGCGCTCAGTGAATATACACCAAACACCAGATGAAACCTACTGTTCTTTGTCTCCATGAATGGCAAGTGCTGGCCAGCCGTCTTGACGAAGGTACTTGGTGATGTCGTCCGCGACACGTTTTGTTCCGACAAATATGAGTACCTTGGCGTTCTCAGAGCTGATCTGGTCAAGATGTTTGATGAGTTTGGCACGCTTCTCGAAGTCACTGCAGACTTCGACAATCTGTTGGATGTTGTGGTTGGCGGTGAGTTCCATAGATCCGATGTTGACCTGAATCATGTCTTTCAGGAAATCCTGCAAACAGTGAGCTTTATCCTGGAACCATAAAACATTTCAAAGCTCACATTTGCGAGTTTCTGCACATCCTTTGGCCATGTAGCACTAAACATCAGTGTCTGGCGATCAGGGCGAATCTGAGATACAATCTTGCGTATCTGGGGTTCGAAGCCCATGTCCAACATACGATCAGCCTCATCCATGACTAAATACGTGACACGACGAAGATTGGTCTTTTGCGTCTCCAGCATATCGATGAGTCGTCCGGGAGTCGCAATTACGACCTCAACACCACGTTGGAGGTCACGAATTTGAGGACCCTTGGGAGCGCCACCATAGATGGCGGTGTTACGGATGCGAGAGCTCGCACTAAATACATGAGCGAAAGTTAATGTGGCGAGTCGACAAACATACCCGAACTTCGTACACTCCTGCTGTATTTGTACAGCAAGCTCACGGGTAGGCGCCAGGACAAGTGCAATCGGACCATCGCCTGGTGCAAGTAGAGGTTGACTAGTTCCCAGTGAGTATACGATCACAAAGATGAGATATAAACGTACGCGTTGATGTGAAGCATAGCAGGCAGAGCGAAAGAAATCGTTTTTCCACTCCCTGTTTGGGCGATCGCAACTACATCTCTGCCACTCAGTGCCATAGGCCATGCTTGACATTGAATGGGGGTTGGCGAAGCAAAGCCTTGTGCACGGATCGAGGCCAAGATATATTCAGGGAACCCTGCCTCGTCAAAAGAGATGACAGGTCTGGGAACACCCCGTCCTTGAACCTGGTGACACGCATCAGTAACCGTGTATTTTTGGCACATTCTCATGTACCTTTATTTCTTTAGTCTTCCGGAACTCTTCCACCTCTCTGTCAGTCATAGATGAAACACGCTTATCCTCAACGTAGAAGTTCTTCTCGAAGCGCTCGAGCTTTTGCGATGCCCAATCGATCGTTCTAAGACCACCGCCCAAGCCTCCCATTTTATCTTCGTAGCCACCGCCACCCCATCCTCCGCCTCCCCCACCGTAGCCGCCGCCGCCGCCGTAGCCACCACCATAATTACCGTGACTCTAGAGAAGGTCGATATCAGAAAAGCGCATGTTTTCTCCAGCAGGAATTTTTACCATAATGTTGTCTATAGCAAGAACTAGAAAACAAGGATGCAACGGAGATCCGAAAGCGTGGTGGTTAAAGAGCAAGGAACAAAGCACAGTACTCGAAAAAACGCGTTGCGATTGGAGTAAATAAACCATAATATGCTTACGTGATGTTCTTCTCAGCTTACTCAGATGCTAACACTACATACTTTAAACGTACACATGGTCCCAGATATCAGGGCAATAATAATCTGTGCTGGTCTGTGCGGGGTATATGTAAAATGACGTGCATGAGAGTGATCGTAGCCGAAGCCCGGTTCTGATTCGACTTGGATGGGCATAAAGAATCAAGAAATTGTGAGTTGCGTCACAAGGTATCTTGTGCATACATCACATCACGATGCAGAGCTTGCGTGATCGTGAAGCCTTCTTCCTTGGGGGTGGTTCATCTGGGTAGTGCATAAGCATCTGCCTGACAAGGTCCCGGAAGACATCGTTAATGTGCCAGTCGCGCTTGGCTGAAGTTTCGTAGAATGGTATCTTCCACAACGCAACTAGGCATTGTATCGTGCTTCTTGCGACCTCTCGTTCGTTGGCGAGGTCGAGCTTTGTCCCAACCACAACAATAGGGACATCCTGTGTACAATAGTAGCCGCTGTATTCGGTATTCAATAGAACTTACGCTGTCCATCCCCTTCACTCGGTGTATCTGCTGTCGAAGATTGTCCAGTTCCCTAAGACTTGCTTCTTGTGTGAGGCTGAATGACATAATAGGTCAACAAATGAATAGAATGATGTCTTGTAATGCATACCTGAAGACTAATACGAATCCCTGGCCGGACTACAGGGAACTGGTGTGAGTTCGATACCATACATCCCAAAATTATAAGTAGTCACTTTGATGTAAAGTTCTTTCAATGCAGTGAATTGCTCAGCACCTGCAGTATCTAGCACTTCTAGCTGTAAGGAAACAAATGATCAGAAACAGTTTAGCGAAAGGGGGTTAACGGCAGCAAGAACACACGTAATCTCACCGAAGTCTGGACACCATCGATATCAAGGATGCGCCGATAAGCTTCTGCAAAGTCGATGCAGTAAGCCCTTCACGTCATATTGAAATGTACTACCACGGGGGATGTACCTTCGATCGTGGGGTCATAAGTCTCTCGGAAGACATCTTGAACGAATCGCACCGTCAATGCAGACTTTCCTACCCCTCCGGCTGCGACATATGAGACGATACAGTCATCATGACCTAATGAATGACATACCTCCTAGGACGACGACGTTGAAGTGCCTCATGTTTCGAGAGGTGGGTATGAGAGAAGGAGCTTATGTATAAGGAATGCACGCACGAGTGATGCAACCTGTGTGTGGGAAGTTAATCGAAAGTATGCACAACGCGCCAATCTAAAATAATTTCTCATCAGGGACTGAAGTGCGAGAATCGGGCCAGTGGAGAGTAAGAGAAGCGAGAGGATACCAGCTAAATGTGGTTAGAAACCATAAATATTAATGATCTCATTAATATTGATGGACTTCGGTAGGCTAAAGTATGTCTTTCGGAGCAAGAAGGTCTCGTCCATCGGTGTGGCACTCGTGTCCTATCCCGTAGGCTCAGGTTTGAGTAATTTGCCATGTGGAGTACAAGGTAAAACTTGGCACAGCGATGTAGATCAGGTTGCGGAGGAAGAACATGAGTGCGGCAACCACCGTACGTAGACCCGGGGGCGTGAGCTCAGCAAGTATACTCAGACGCACAAGACAGCCTAGTCCACTTTTATTGTATTGTGCACAAAGTTCTCGACGGCATCTCCAAAGGTTGCTATTTATATAATACAATACATTGAAAATAACGAAGCGAAGGAGTGACATATGCTAGGCAAGAACGCTAGTACTCGAGAAATGAGTGGAGAAGTGATGAACGTAAGAAATAGATAGCGCGATAAGAATTATGGACAGAGTACGCGGTCCGCAATCATGTCGGCCAGCCACCTGCAATCCTAGCAGCACCAAAACCAACGCGCCCCATGATATTCCATACAGCAGCAGTGCCATCGTAACCAAAGCCTTCGCCGGGTCCCTGCATGCTGTTGAAGCTCGACCAAGCAGCGCGGTCGTATACCGTTGGGCCACCAACAGGTGAATACTGCGCCCCAATGGCTGGCAGACGCGATGTCATGCAGAGGAATACGAGCGCCATAGCCCCAGCGCTGATGAGTGCCTGCCGAGCCGCGCCAGCAAGCCAAGCATCGCCTTCTTCGCCCCCCTCGTTTCCGCCCTTGCCGATGACATAGGTATTGTAGATCTTGTAGAAACGGTTCTGGCGACGAGGCTGATGCTTGGTGCTGGAACAGGCGATCAACTCATCTATCATCTCACATTCCACACCGAGTTCCTCCTTCAGCGCTTTCCACTCCTCGACAGCGTCTTCTGAGATTCCTCCGGGAATGCCACGTATCGGGATGGTAATACCTTTGTGCCGGTCCATTAGGGCGTTATTGACGACATTAGATTGCTCGAGCTCAGTAACGAAGTTGTAGGAAGGAGGAGCGTCGTTCAGGTGAGGGTCCAGGTGCCCCTTGGGCGTGGGAGGGAGGACAGTGGACGATGAAGACGCGAGTGTCTCGTCGTCTTCCAGGGTGACTTGCGGTGATGCAGACCGGGAGACTTCTGACTCTAAGTCGTCTGTTTGTATTTCGATACACGATGTGATCCGTGGTAGTTCAGGATCAGTTTGGACCGCAAAGATGCGACGGGAGACTTCTTCTGTTTGAACGGAGGACGCGCAAGTGGGAACCTTGGGTTCGGGGTCTGTCTGCATTGCACATGCTGATGTATGCTCTGCGGCGTAGTGTTGCGTGTACGCGTCACTGTATTCCTTGGTTTCTGAGAAAGTGACGGTCTCGGCCTTGTTGATACGGCCAACTTTCTGTGGGGAGTGTCAGACGTGAGACGCGAGTGTGAAAGCACACTTACCCTCTTCTTCCGAGTAATGATGGTTTGAATGACGTCCTCCTCCTCCTCTGTATCCTCGTCTACATCCAGCTCTAGCTCACTACTGTCTCCTTCATCTTCAATTCCATCATCCTCGTCACCCCAACTTTCACCCATCTTCCCCATGAGCTCAGCACCGAGGCTCTTACTCATAGTATTCGCCGCGCTAGAATGCCCGCTTCCCGCAGCCGCATTTGTGGCAGCATTGCGCATCTCGTCCATATCAAACCGCATGCGGTCGATGGTCTCCTTGAGCATAAGGTTCTCCTGCTTCTGCTCATCGAGCTGAGCATGGGCTTGTTGTGCAATAACGAGCTCCTCTTCAAGACGTGAGATGTGGTCTTCGTAGGAAAATGCTTCTTTGGTCCACTTTGCAGCTTCGAGCGACTGGAGCGCGGCAGCATCTTGAAAATCTTTGATTTCTTGATCTCGACGGCGGAGCTGGTTGCGGTAGCGTTCAGATTCCGCTGAAACTGTGTGAGCGAGGATGTTCGAAATCTTAGAGAGTGAACGTACCGCATTGCTCTTGGTATTGCTTCTGCAAACTTTGGTATGATGAACGCGCGTTTTCCAAACTTTTCTGCAACTTCGCGATTTCGGACTCTAACGCCGCAATTTGCGTTGAGTTGGTTCGCTAAACGGTATCGTCAGACATTGCCCAAGAAGTTCGCGCATGACATGCCTCCTTCGCTCGAAGTTCCTTCTCCTCCCGCTTGGTAGAAGTGAGTTCGCTCTTGAGTTCTTCCAAGCGCCCCTGCATCTCATCCAAGTCCATGTCATGCTCATTCATCCTGTTCTCAAGAGTCTTCTCGGCCTCCATCAGCTTCCGCCCAAGCTCTGTATTGGCCTTCTGTAATACATCCAGTCTGTCCATGGGCTCAAGAGACACAGTCGACGAAGTTGCTGAACGATCCATCACTAAGCCTAAGGATGACTCATTCTCGCCATCAGAATCAGAATCTGATGCTGAGTGTGGCATGGGCAATGAAGATATTTGGCGAGAAAAGTTGTCCCCTTTCTGCGGGTATTCAAACGAGGCGTCCATGTCAGGCGAATGTTCCCCCGAAGAGAGGTGATCCCGGTCCGGAGATGAGTAGTGGATCCCAATGTTAGTGAAGGGCTGCGACTGCGTACGAGAATGTGGCCGTGCGAAAGGTGGTGAGCCGATCGATGTAGGAGAGAATAGGCCTGAAGAGATGCTCGAGGGACTCGTTGGATTTGATGGTGTGCGGGTTCGGCCGAACGCGCTGGGACTGGAAGAGAAAGACGACTATTGCGGTCAAATTCAACAGATGTGGATACATAGGAGAAGAAATGACGTACTTCCGAATCACTAAGACCGCGATTGGACCCGCCATCGATACTTTTGCGTCTGCTGGTAGGTGCTGGGCGCTTTGACCAGCTTGAGGGGGGCTGTGCATCCAATGGGGTTGTTCGCTGTCGTCGCGACGTGTCAAAGGCAGAGCCAGTTGCAGTTGTGGGCGTCTTTGGTGGCACAGACGGTGGTCGACTGGGAACGCGTGAAGTTCCTGCCGAGCCTCTGCTAGAAGATCGCGAGTGGTTGGTGTTGCGAATAAATGGATTGTGCCCTCGGTCGTCAGGCAGCGTTACATCCTCTTCCACAGGGGAGTCATATGGACTGCCTCGCGGACTGTGCCTGGTCCTCTCTGCAATGAACTGGAGCAAAACTTGAGGTGTAACTTCAATTCCGGGATTGCCTGCGAGAAGTTCCTTGAGCATGCCCATCTCCTTCTCGTTGAGTAGGTCGACGCCATCGCATGACTCTGAAAATGCACTGAGTACATCAGGGAGTACGTCTGCGGGTATGGCTGGTTCTCCTGATTGGATTTCACGCGATTCTGGGTGGTTGTTAAATATGTCATAGAGTTCTTGTTCGATGTCTGTTATTGATTGCCTGCTGCGTCCGAAAGTCGACTGGATGTAGGTCAGAAATGCCCTGCTTCTCGCAGAAGATACGTACCATGATGGACTAATGAGAAAGGGAAATTTTGGTTTATACAATGCGACTTACTCTTCCACTACTTCAATGAAATTCTTCAACTGCTTTGGCTGCCACAGAAACCAAACATGATCGTTCCACGCTTGCCAAATCCGGAAATGAGAACAGCATCACGTGACGATTATAATCGTCCAGTGGCACAAAGGGTGAATGATTGGTCCACCGACGCTTGAAGTTGAAGCACTCGTCCCAACTGTATCCAAGGGTTACTACATGGCTTTGAATCCGAGCATTCCTGCTCTGGTATATGTGCAGTGATATGTAAGTTGTTCTACGCCTGTCCTCTCTCCTTCAATAATACTGTTCTCAGGCGCTTCAGCGCTTCATTCACCTGCGACTCAGTACATAGAGAGAATGAGGCCCTGACAAACGCCGTCTTACGTCCATTGGGAAGGAAGACTGTACCAGGGAGGGCGAGTACGCCGCCCTCGTATGCCTTGGTTTGTATGAGGTCTTCTGAGTCACCCTCATCTACGTCGGATGTCTGATTTGGTGAGAGAAGGAGCTTGAACCTATTGTAATGTCACCTTTGTTAATATGTCTGGTCGATTTCTAATAGATGTACACACCAGAAGAACATGCCCGCTTCAGGGGTGCACCATTCCGCAAGTCCACCGAGGTGCGCATTCAAGGCAGACTCGAACACATCACGCTTCTTGCGGTAGAAGTCGGCAACGGTCCGTGTATGGGCGAAGAAATTGTCGTAGCCCCATTCCTCAACCAGTGCGAGGGTAATGGCCTGAATAAGTGACGAGCCTTGCAGGTTGGCCGTTGCAGTCTGATTGAATATAAGATACACAGCACATGCGAATATCTCTTCTTGTACGTACATGCAAGTCTATGACATCGATAATAGGCTTCGGCCCCGAGGCAAAGCCCATGCGCATGCCTGCGGAAAGGATTTTGGAGAAACTGTCAAAGCGGATAACTCGACCGATCTCAGGCTCGTCAAGTTCCAGCTGGAAGTACGAAAGCGGTCGAGCGGCTTTTCCAAAATACAGGTAGAAGTAGGGATCATCTGCCAGTGTGCATAAATTAGTAATTCAATCTACTCCGGACAAAAACAAGGGATGTGACCTACCCTCGAGAATCAAGAAATTATGTTCGCGGGCAAGTTGCAATACTTCCTTGCGACGTTGAAGGGTGGCTGTCATACCGGTAGGGTTGCAACCATACTGCGATATGGTTACTTGGGTCAATAATTTGAACAGGCAGGCCTTACGGGAACCGTATAGAAGACCCTCGGTTTCGGCTTTCCGACAGGCCAATTCTCCAAAATATTGCGCAACTCATGAGAACACACCCCATTTGCGTCGGTTTCCACCTCTAATCAATCCGTGAGCATGAGAAGTTTAACGCCAGCACATGACCAACCGATCTGCTCGCAGTGTAGAGTTTGAAACATTGGAATGACACCACTGAATGGATAGCAGTCACCAAAGGGCTAAAATTTCTTCGGACTATGTTTAACTCACGCATACACTGGTGACTCCACGAGGACGGGCTCTCCGGGGTTCACTAAAGCGTTGATTGCCTGCAGAAATATGAGGACCATTACTTGTTTTCAGAGAGAACCCATAACCTTATAAATCAAGTCTTGCGAACCGCTCCCAATGGTTAATCTCCATCCCTCGCCTGATGTGCGGCCATGAGAGCGCTCTTGCAACCCCACGAACCACTCCACTAGACGAGGAAGACCGCCAGTGGCGCCGTATTGCAGGCCAGCGGAAAGATCCTTTCCAGATAGCGAGATTGATTGGTCCTGCGATGGGTCCACGGGGGAGGCAATGTTGAAAGATAATGATTTGAAGGGAAACATGGCATCATTGGGCTTTCCCGCTAATAATGATATCACGCCTGGCTTGTTTTCCAATGGGAACAGCCCACGAACTGAAGCGTCACAATTAAACTTCACTGTCGATGGCTCATGAGGGATCGATGGGAACATACTAGGACTGGGCTTCCGTCCTTTGGCAGTATCGGACAAAAATTCTGTGTAGAAGTCTGCTGGAAGGGATTTGATAATCTTTTCAACAACATGCCCGTTAGCGTCATTGGGAGTGCTGACACTGGAAGCTGAGAGAAGGATTCTGTCAGAGTGTGTGGCCATCTGAGGGAATAATCAACGCGCGAATTGTCCTGCAGCTCGTGTCAACCGTGAGGGTGTACATGATCATGTTGCACATAATGCCCACCTTTTTTAAGTCAGGAGTGAGTGTTTTGCTCGAAGGCGTGAAATCTGATGGATCACCCGACCGATCGTGTTTTTGATGTGCAGCAAATAGCTCGAGTCATCCTGCGATATTACAAGATGCTTATCAGTAAGTTACATACAGTTGTGTCAAAGGTTGTCACGCGGAGTCACAGCTGTTCTGGCACTAAAGAGTGCTCCATAGCTAGCCGATCTTATCAGAAAGGCTTCAAAACGGATGATGGGCACAGGCAGGAGGCACCGATAAGTAGCGATACGTACTTTGTCAGATATTTTCGGACGTTGTGGGGCACCTTATTACGCGTATTACGTATGTTGGAACGTGTACTTCGTGTCTTCCTTGTCGCCGGACGTCTAACAAGTTATATCTAAATCTATGCTGCCTCTTGGAAGGGAAGTAAAAGAGGATAAAATCACAGATGCAGTGGAAATACATAGGTCTAGAAGAAACTCGGATGTGAGGAAAGAGTGGAAACTGCAGGCGGCTGTCCGCCGGTGTGGTGCAGAGGATGAGGAGTCGTCTAGGTGGATCAACAGTCCGAGAGATATCATAATGTGCTGTAAGTGCTGTACATAGAAGTGCCTGCTTCGACCTCATCGAGAGCGGGCGTCATCTGAGGAGTCAGAAAAGGGCACGGGGGAGGCAGCCGTGACGGAAACAGACGGACGCCGTCGCTTTACTTCAATAGGGACCATCTCCTCATCGCTCTCATCCTCATCTGCCTCCTCGTACACGAGGCTAGTATTAGCCTGGAAGGCCTCCGACTCCGCTTGACGATCCCTGTGAGTATCGCGGAAGAAACTGGAGTCGGAGGCGACATCGTCGTAGTCGACATCGTCGTAGTCATCGTCACTCGCGCTGGGCTCCGATCCGTATGCGACCTGCTGCAAGGGGCTGGGGCTTTGAGTAGCAGACCGAATAGTGGGTTGCCGATTGTGCCCAGGATCGTGCGAGGGCGGATCAGGAATGGCTGAAGCTGGAGGAGCGACGTACAGGCGTTCGGGTTGTGGGTGTCGTAACGCGATGGGAGAGTAACTGGTTGATTGATTGAGGCCTAAAGGCAAGTTTGACGAAACAAGACTGCTCGGGTCATTGCACACGCCGCCAGCACCCAAGAACATCGCATCATCTGGAAGAGGAGTGTTGTTATTTTCTCTACCACAGCTAGTAGGGCGGCCATGAGAGTGCAATGAACAGGGCTGATTTTGATCAAGTGGAAGAAGGGTATTAGACTCTCTCCATCGGGAACGAGAGCCACTGACATTGGAATCATGCTCCCGGCCCTTAGATGCGTTCCGGGCCCACCTCTCAATCGACTCTTGTCTCCTTCCCATGTTTGGCGTCGAGTCATTACGCACAATATCAGAGCGTGCAACACCCCGACGCTTCCCATTCTCATCGATTTCCGAATTTGATAGTCGCCCACTAGCGCTTTTGTGCCGCTCTACGTACGCAATGGCCGGTGAGGAGCACACACCAAAGTCGTCTTCATCGTCACGTGATGATGCGGCACGCGAGGAACGGACGCCCTTGAATAATGAGGATATGCGACGTGTAAGGCGCTTTGGCCAGCCCCAGCTGAATCGAACAGTAGTCATCGCAGTGCGGGTGTCCGACTCCGTGACATGCACCATGTCAATCCTGGAGGGTGAGGTTTGGCGAAGCCATTCTTGGTGGTGTGGGATATCCCGCAGGAACCAAACGTACCGCTGCACGTAAAATAGGAGATATGGAGACGTACACGAGTAGAATGAATCAACGAACCTTTGCTTGATCAAGAGTCATGCGCTTGTTGGGATCTTTTTCAAGCAGCTTGTCGAGAAGATTCATGACGACAAATCCCTCAGACTTTTTATCCTTGGGTTTCCGTCCGCCAGTTGAAATGCGATCGCAACCCATAGTGTCTTCTGGCTCCCAATCGTGTTTGCATATGATATTATAGAGCACGTATTCACTCGAATCTTCGGCTCTGAACGGGATTTTGCCAAAAAGAAGGCAGTACAGCGTGACACCCAGTGCCCATACGTCAATGGCCTTCGTAATCTGCAGCCGCTGGGACGTGGTAGGACGGACGGTGGAAGAAGAACCTATATGTGTGGCGGACCTCAAGGAGAGCAGCGTGGCAGAAGCAGATATAGATGGCGAAGGATCAGTGCTGTTGTACTCAGCAATGACTTCAGGAGCAAGAAACGGAGGGGTTCCGGCGCGCTTGGAAAGGTCCGAATCATCCAACAAAATCGGATCGTTGGCATCATCAAGGGCAACCTTTCCACGCCCCGCAGCGGCGAGGCGCTGCGCGTATGAGAAATGCGAGACTCCAAAGTCACTGATCTTGACCATTTGGCGATCCGCGGTCCAGAGAAGGTTAGCGGGCTTTATGTCACGGTGAATAATTCCCTGGTAATGGACTGCGTTTGGGAAAGGAGTGTCCAGATTAGCGCGTGGCGATGAGGATGTCATTTAGCTTACGATATTCGAGGCCGAGAATAACATCGCGACATATTCGTCGACATTGGTCTACCTGTAGCACAGGCTCACTCTGTTCGTTGCGCCACTTGATCTCTCCGCCGCTTAGATATTCCATGACTAGAAGTAAGGCTGTGAGTACGTTGCTTCCTGACACATATCGTATCGTTTCCTAGACTGCAGCCACAGGGTCATGATTCCTCAGCCGAGACATTCACCCATGGCCTGTAGTCGGGAAGTAGACAGGTAACACGATTCTCTGATTCCACGGTAGATAGCGAAACTGCATGCTTACCCATGTATATCCTATCATTCAGCTTGTCATCGATAACCTCCAACAGGCGAACGACATGGCCATGACGGCATTTTTTCATTATCGCGATCTCTTTCCGTATTTTATGCTCAAGGCTTCCGAGTTTTTCTGTAAGTGGTGTATGAGACGACGCAGGGATGTTTCGCCTGCGGAGCATGTTCATCTTCTCGGCGCGAGGATTATTGCGTTTGACGGCCTTTATGGCCTGATGGACAGCATGGTTACAAGATCACGTCAGAGAAGTTGGTAAAGAACTGTTGTCAACTGACCAGCTCACGACGGTTATCAGACAAGTCCCAACACACCCATACTTCTCCATGCTGTCCTTTTCCGACTCGGTGGCCGCGCAGATACTGGTTCACGATGGGTCTGCGGTCGTCGTAATGCCTGTAATGTAGTTCAGCTGTCATCCGAACGCTGCCTGGCGGATCGAATGGGAGTCCTGAAGGGTCTTCAGTATGCACACTGCTTGCTGAGTCTATGTCGGAAGACATCTTGTTTGAGGACTCATGAAGTCCTTTGCAAAAAAATAACCTGCGAATCAATAAAAGGGCAATGTTTGTTGAATAGACTAGAAGACGAGGAAAGGGAAAGGAGATCAAACAGCGACGCTTCAAAGAAACTGCAATCTAAAGCAGCATATAATAACTAATTTGGGATGAAGCTGAACCCCAGACACTCCGTAATACAACAGCCTTCTTAGATTACATATTTGAGGGACTGCGTCTATCACAGATCTGGATACGGTTTCAACCATAAATGCAGCCCTTCGCAGCCCTGCCATCAACGTACACCCTCAATGCAGTGTCCTTCTGCCGACCGCTTATCGCGTCTTCAGCGAGGGCAAGTGCATTTATCCTCGTCTTTGACGTCTTTCATAACCTATACCAGACAAATATATCAGTGTCATGGGGAGCAGGCGTTTTAAATTGGGCCCTCTCAGCACTCCCAAGGGAACCCTCGAAGTTCAGGCAGAGATGCGAGGAGGCCGTGATGGGGTGTCTTCGAAAGGGACCACATCAAACGATAACGTGGAAATGACCCTCCATCACAGATTATATCGCTTTGTCATTTCAATATCCAACACCCAAACTTTACACCAAGTGTGACAGTCTATCGGTTAAGAAAAGCTCACCTGGTCGACATGATTTCCACACCCCTGTTTGAAGGGACACGTCAGTTAGATCTCAGCCTATCAACGCAGGAGAGGGTATGTGTAAATAGACAAAGTTCGCGGGTCGGGCCCGTGTTCTCTTAATCCCATGATACTTCCGCCCTCGCGCACGGAAGCACTATGAACCCTCTCTTGGCAGCCAATCGCCATGCGCATCAGTGCATCGTGCGTACATACGCCGCCGCCTCCAAACGGGACAACTGGACATCGCCAAGGAGATAAGTGCTTGCCTTCCAAGTAGTTTTGCCGCATTGGTCACATTTGACTGCGTAACACATGTTGACGAGAGCCACAAATGCTTCTTCACGAGCCATCGCTTTCTTGATAATTGCTTGAAGAGGTAGGTTAAGGTAATAAAGTCACTACCCGACGTGTGATTGACAAATGACATTGGCGTGAGTTACATCATGGCGTCGGACAATCCCTCTGACTTACCTTTGATCTGACAATAGTAGATGCACGCTGTGTGGCGAAGCAGTGACGGAAGTGTGAGAGTGATTCGCGGGAGTGTCTTATCAGGGTTCACCCTTTATACCCCTTGAAGGCTCCCGAGACGTATTTGGCCGCATCTGCGCTAACATAAGCTCAGGCACCGACACACTCGAGCCTCGAGTCAGATGACTCAGCGGTTCAGCCACTGCCAGTCATAATTCATTGTATCCCCGGGCCGTGCCAGATTTTCTTCAGCCATCGTCACACTAGTACTGTGATATGATGTTCTTGATCTGAAGCGAAAATAACATAACGCGGGACATAAATTCAAACGCGTCGTTTTCGCGGGGATTTGTTGTGGCAGGTCTGGATTTCCGCATTACTGCCCCGTATTATCGTACCCTAACTTAAAGGTCAGCATTCATTTCACTGCAGGGTCGTATCGGCTGGGCCTGGAACTGTCAATAATATGAACCATGTACAAAAGAAATGATCTAAGCGGCCGTTTTGCTTGTGCACGCACCCGAGCGCAGTAAGTGTAGGATTTCAACAAATTATCATTCACTGCGCAGCTGAGTGCCTTGTCACGACGTAGTTGTCCGAGTCGGATTAACTTGCTAAAACTATCCAGGATTCCTCCTATCATTCAGCTCTGATCACCACTACCATGGTCTTAGGACTGACTCCCTAACCGATCGATCAGGACAGAGACTGTACCGAGGGAATCAAGGAACAAGTGGGGTGGTCCCTATTCGTTGCCATTCAGTTGAATCCGCCGATCAGGAAAAACGTTCTCCGCCGCCAATATACGGGGCAGCGAAACATGCATTTGTTCCCGGTGATTGGAATTTCGTGGTTTTCAAGTCTCAACTGAGATATAATTCAATTGTCCAAGGCATATTGATAAGTGATTATACCACGATCGATATCCTCAGCGCTATTTAAGTGCCGCATGGGGGCCACTGAGAATTCTTATAGAAAATCATATTGTCTCACAACCGCAGGACCATTCAGTGGGAGTCGTGGCTGCTATCAGGCTACACAGTTCACGTAAGCTAAATTGCCCAGTCGCATGCACAGGTCAGTAAGTTTGGACACTAAACTCGCCATAGGGTTACTGGTACTGTCGTCCCTCGCGGCCTTGCGACGCTGAAAAAATGTATTGCTATCATAGTAGTCATACAATATGAAATGAGTGAGTTGGTGCATAGATATACTATTATATTGTCGTCCACGGAATGCACACATCGCAAAGAAAGACGTTCACCGTCTTTCCTTGACGAAGAAATGTAGCATCAGGAAGCTCGCAGTTGTAAACACCACGAAGAAGATACCAAGCAGGGATATGTTCGGCCACCAGAATGACTACGTTAGGAAGACCACGGTAGATTAGCGCACGATTCACGACAGTGTATGCATCTGCTACCCACCTGAGCTCTAAGACCGAATATCGAAAGAATGGTAGCCGCAGGGACGTCCAATTCAACGCCATACTAAATCGAACACGTTAGAAGACGAACAAAAAATGGTCATCGACATTACCTTAATCTCCTTGAGTTGTAGATATCTCAGTTCATTCACAGCGAGTGCCTCGAAAGCAGCGTGAAAGAATGAAACAGTATGCAACCACTGCAAGACGGGTGTGACTGTGTCCCTGTTGATCAGAAGGCCCGTGAAGAGGAGGCTGTGGTGACCATCAATCAACTCTGGCGACATTCAGACACGTAGAATAGCTCACTTGAACAGCATGACAAGGGTGCCAACTAAACTCGCCACGCTGGTACTGGCAAATGAGATCGACAGAAGAAGGATCACGCTTGCTGTCGTCAAGTTGAACAACACGAGGGTCAACATGAACTTCCAAAAAGCTGGTACTGTGGGCACGAGACCGACGAGGCCGTAAACAATGCCACCAAAGACCAGTGGAGGCACCAAGCGGAGTGGCAGAATGTCAAACAGAACCTGACCAAGGATCAATTTAAGAAACAACAGAGTAGAATTGAACTATATCACCTTCGAGGAGAAGTAAGTGAAGGTCGAATAGTAGCCGTTTGCTCTGTGATATAAAATAAGTATGGGAAACATGTCTTGACAAAGTCTCCCTACCTTTCGCGCATGAAAAGGACTCGCTCGTTCGCGAATAATCCAAGGCTAGATAAGCACGAGAAACCGAAGAGTGCCAACGTGAAGAAGAAAATGCCTGAAGAATATCAGCCAAAGAAAAAGAAGAACATAAAGCCGCTCACCGAGCCGGTTCTGGAAGCCTGCAATGTCATTGCTAACATTATGGAAAAAGAGACCACAGATCACTGAGAAAAGATATGTAAATATGCAAAATCACAACAAAAAAGCGATGGCTCACGAGCCAGTACGATGGAGGATATATAATGAGCTGCCAGTAATGCCGGATCACGGTAGAGATTCTTGAACGCCCGACCACTCAAAATCTTGAACTGCGTTCCCCAACTGGCTCTCTTCCGTCCTCGCAGCAACGAGTTTTCAACAACAACGTCCCGCAGTTCACCATCCGCGCGTAACGCATCAGCTCCACGTTGTGCAGCGGCAACTTCATCCGTCTCAACCTTGATCGACTTCGCAACTTCACTCCCAGAGTACGCGTCGACAAGCTGCGCAAGCTTGGGAGTAAGCGGGTTGTCATTAGGTGGTGAACTTCGGACAGCTTCCAGGAGCTGCGAGGTCTTGCGTTTGATGGAGGATGAGAAAGAGATACGACGAGTTCGAAGCTCGGTTTCCTCTTCGACCGCGGTGGAAGAGCGACCGTGTGATCGTACAGATGATGTACCAAAGGCACGCTCCTCATCTAAAAGGTTGTCACCAGATGTCGATGATACGGCATCGTTGGAAGGAGAATCCGGGCTTCGTGGTTCCAGTCCAGCATGAACGGTTAGGTCGACTAGAGCACGAGTCAGTTGTGGTGTCGTAAAGTTGTCATACCACTCACTGAGATAATCCGCGATGTTAAAGCCTGATGGACATGGCTGATCGATGCTAGCGAAGTATTCTTGGCATTTAGCAAATTCTCCAGAGTACACCATTTTACCCTGAGCGAGAAGGACAAGATGATCAAACAAGGCGACAATATTACTGCGAGGCTGGTGAATTGTGAAGATAACGGTCCGATTGTAGTCGCGTGCAAGGGTCACCAAGCTCTCGACGACATTAAATGCGTTATAAGAGTCCAATCCTGCACAATGTCAGCACGCTATATGCATTTATCAAACCATAACATTACCGCTTGTAGGCTCATCTAGGAACAATATCGAAGGGCTGGTGACCAGCTCGCAAGCTATCGAGACGCGTCTCTTTTCGCCTCCAGATATTGACCGGCGTCCTGTGCAACATGAGTGTGCAATTCTAACCTGAGCGGATACCAAACATACCCGAGTCACCAATCCTCGAGTCCTTGATACCCAGGATACCGAGTTCATTCATTGTCTCAAGCGTCCTGTACTTCTTCGCCTCCAAACTCATCTCCCGCGGGAGACGCAATAGCGCAGAATACAACACAGTCTCATATACCGTCAACGTGCTCATCAAGGTATCCTCCTGATCTACGAAGCCCACCACCTTTTTGAACTCCGAGTCCGCGACCTCTCGCCCGTTGACGAGGGTCGTGCCGCTGACTTGACCCATCTTGCGCTTGCGAGCGAGGATATCAAGGAAGGTAGATTTACCAGCACCGGATGCGCCCATAATCGCCATGACCTGACCCGGTTTCACGGCCCCAGAAATTTTATTAAGGATCGTGCGGTTGCCGAGAGAGTAAGAGATATTCGAAAAGTGAAGGGATGCAGGAACATGGTCTGTCATGAGTTTCGAAGCTTCATTTTCCGGCAGCCTGATTTTGCCGAAGTCACCGCCACTGCGCGACCGACCGACATACCAAAGGATTGCGACAGTCAAGACAACAATCAAACCTGCACCGGCAGCGCTCAGGGCAACCCATTTGGTGTTGTCGGGTTTGGGTGGAGGCTATGAGGCAATGAGGACATGAACGCGTCAATTCAATCACTGTACGCACATGGAAGCCAGGAACTTGAGAGTAATGCAAACACTCTCCGCCATCACACTGAAGAGTGATGTATGCATCGCCAAAAATATCATTGATGAGATTATTCATAGCGGGCTCCTCAAACCTGCATCCAGCACCAGATTTACAGCTGAAAGTTGCGGGTCCACGGATCTCTTCTGTCAAGAAGTCGCTGATGTCTATGACGAAACATTATGGAAAGTTCAAAGTGAGCTACAACATAACCTTACCAACACTGCCCTCCTCTCCGCAAAGGAACTTGTCAGGAATGCATTTGCATCTTATGTGCTCACATGCATAGATGGTAGAGTTCGAGTCGTATCCTGGCTGGGCCTCAGAGGAACACGTGTCCAGCGCACAATAAAAGGATTCTTGTTGTGCGGTCCAGAACTGAAAGCTGCAAGTCGCGCTGGAGTTGTCGCAGCTGAATGTGACTTGTGGGGGACGGTCGGGGAGCATGTCCAATATCTTGCGGTCTACCAAGATTAGTCTACGGCATGTCACTGCATTCCGAAGGCGTACTAGTGATGTCACACATTTGATGATTGTTGAAGACAGTCTCGCCACCCTGGTAACAAGTCATGTTTGCAACATTTTCATCTCCCATCTCGGTATGTATGCCACCGGCTAATGGGAAGCCAATGCAGGCATTGTCGGTCTTGCAGACTGGCGGAAGTCGATCAGTTGGAATGACAGCGACACATGATAACGCAGGATCGTTCGTACCATTGCAGTTTATACCTCCCCATCCTTCGTTACACTGACATGGTTCATCCTCTCGGAGGGGCCTCTCAACGCCGTCTGCGAGGGAACCGCACTCTAGAAGGAATATCGGTGATCAACGTCCAAACAGCGTTGTGCCGGTGACTTACGTGGAAGCAAGCAGTCTATCCCACCCCAGCCTGGAGGGCATTTACACTGTCCATCGTATTCATCGCAGTGACCAAATTGACCGCATGTGAACGCTGGAAGAAGACAATTGAAGCAAGGCGGACACTTGTCTGGATTAGGTAGCGCAGAAGGGTAAATCAGTCGTCCGAATAAACGCAGAACACATACCCCTCAAAGAAGAAGACGCAAGTGACTATGAAGGATTAAAGATCTGAGCACAACAATATGTGACGCCAGGAGACAGTTACGCACAGAGATCTCGTAGTTGGACATGCCGCTTCTTGTCCATGACGAGTTGTCTATCCGTCCAGATACAAAAGGGATTAACGAGAAGGCAAGGAAGGATATTGGAAGTCGTCGACGCATGTTCGTTAACATTAACGCAAACCGCATCCCAAGCAGCCAGTGCGCGGTCCTGTGTGTTGCCAACTTCCCACTGCGGAACAACGGAACAGGACGTGAAACTCTTTCCATTTCTGGCGAGTTGGTCGAGCGTGCCGCGCCCGCATCTAAACTTTAGTCCATATGGTGTTCTCTGACCATGACATTAATTGTATGACATAGCAGGACATAGCTTATTATCAAGAAAGTCTAGACGCTCTACCAACCAACTCCTTACTATCGCCTCCAATCATTATTATCCACATATGCATGATCTTTTCTTCTTCATCGAGACGTTTCCATCTACTATATAGGTAGCTAGCGCGGGGAAGAGCCACATTTCTTTCCCATGTCTCTGCAACAGAAAGCTCTTCTTCTTCTCAAAAAACAGGGTGACTTCGAGGTTGGCTACCGCAGCATCCCCAGTCCTGGTGCTGGGCAGCTCCTGGTCAAGATCCAATCTGCTGCCTTGAATCCGATTGACTACAAGATCAAGGACACCGGGCTGTCTGTGTCTCATTACCCTGCCGTTCTGGGCGTGGATATTGCTGGCATTGTCGTAGAAGTAGGAAAAGGTGTTAAGAATTTCCGCAAGGGCGATCAAGTGTTAGACAAATATTTTCTTCAGGTTGATCCCTGTATGTATAGGCTCAACCTTGATTCACAGATTGGCGCATGGCGTGCGCACTTTTTCTAATGACATGGCTGCGTTTCAGCAGTACTCACTGACCGTTGCGGATTTCACTGCAAAGGTAAGTCTTGAGAGAGTCAATCGACCACACTATGAGCTACATCCCATCCCAGATTCCTTCGAGCGAGTCTTTCGATAGCGCAGCTACTGTTCCTCTGGGACTGGATACTGCGGTAATGGGCCTGTACGGACAAGAAGTAGGAGCTGGGATAACTCCACCTTGGGTGAAAAGTGTCAGCAGTCATGTATCAAAGAAACCCATCGTCATCCTTGGCGGTTCTTCCTCTGTGGGTTCATACAGTATGCGAAGTGGGACTAGCCTCTTCAACCACACACTGACAGTATTGCAGCCATCCAACTTGCTCGTCTTTCAGGATTCTATCCCATCATCACCACAGCTTCCCCGAGCAACGAAGACCTCGTCAGAGACTACGGCGCAACCCACTTTTTTGACCGACACCTTTCCGGCGACCAGCTGAAGGCGGCCATCAGCGAAGTAACCGACAGGCCTATCAAAATAGTTTATGACGCTGTCTCATTGCCAGAAACACAGTCCGCCGGCTGGGGATTGCTTACGACCAACGGTGTCCTTGTACTAACCCTTCCGGCGTCGGTCAAGGAAGATGCAGGCAAGGGGCGCAAGGCCATCCAGACCTTCGGGAACCCGCATGCCCCCCAAAATCATGAGCTGGGCAGCAGCTGCTGGGCTATGGTCACAAAGTGGCTCTCAGAGGGTACTATTCAGGCGGGTTCTGCGATCACTGTTTTGAATCTATGTCTCACATCGATGTAGCCGAACAAGTATGAAGTACTTCCGGACGGGCTTGAAGGTATTATTGAAGGGCTAGAAAGGATGAAAATGGGACAGGTATCTGGAATGAAGCTAGTCGCTCGCCCTCAGGAAACACAGTAAATGCATGTTTCACGATTGCTAACTTAGGTTCATTAGTAGTATTAAGTACTGGCAAGTAGTGAGCTACCTCGAAGCGATGCAGTTGGGCACAAAGGTCTGGAACAAGAAAGTACGACTTGTTGCAAATGTAGAGTTGATACAGAGCAAAACAATGATGTGTTGCAAGTAGACTGAAGCCAATTTGAGCAATGGAGGCTCGGAAAATAGTGAAGGTACGCAAATCAACGGCACTCGAAGTGATCAGTAGAAAAAAGGACCATTAATATTGGAAGTACCAATAGTCACGTACTATGTATGCGCAAGAAAGTGGTTCTATCATCTACTCAAATGTCGAGCGTTTCTAGCTCATCCACAACGATCCCCGCTCCCTGGGCGACAAATAAGGTGTCGCTATGGCTACAACGCTGCGCATGCACAATCTGCATTTATTTCAGAAATGTGACGGAAACCAGAAAGAAGTATGATATCACGCACCGCTGATCGCCATGTCATGGCGTGAGTATGCATCGGATGGCACTGAGAGCAACGAACGAGGCCATTCCGGGCCTCCATATCATCGGGAGTAGTAACCGTGGGGTCACCGTCTAATCCGCAGAGGCTAACTATCACAGCAGCGCCTTGATAACGAGAAATTCGGGATCCCTGTCCAATGTCCCAGTATTCCTTTTCGAGAACGGAAGCGTCACCCAGCACAGGCGATGCTTACATAATCGAAAACGCGTGATGGGAAACCTCTGGATAGGCAAACAATTCTCTTCCACAAAGGAAGAACGAGCTTGCCAGTCGGTGTCTACGGAGGGCAAAGTCATGATCTCCACCGCCGATTCTGGATGGTGTGGGCAACAGACACAATGCCGAGAGTTTAAGCTCCGCTTTCATGCGCAATGGGGGCAGGATTTCAGGAAGCCTGGTGAGAGCCGAAGAAACCATATTATCTCTGAACGGGACCGGCGGAGGAGCCTTAATGATGTCGTTGAATCTCTTAAACGTAGTGAGAAAGCGCCAGTTTGGCATAGGCTCAACCAAGTCGCTTTGTGGAAATCTCCCTTCCAGGTAAGCCTTTTTCAGTATATCGCGGCGCGTAGGATGGACGAAGGTAGCCATGCTGTTCTTTCTCAGCTCATGAATGTAGTTCGTGAGTACTTCCTGAACGCGAATATATGCTGCCAAACAAGGTATTAGCAAGGGCAAACAAAGTTGACGGGCAACTTACCCCTCGGCGTCAGAGGTTCGACCTCTTTTAAAACAGGATGGTCAACAATTTTCCGCTTAAACCGTTGTACGTCTTGTTGAAATTGGAATTTACCCATGACATGATCCTGCCTCGAGGTATGATGGATGCAGAAATGAAAGTGGCAAGTTAGAATTGACTCCCGTTCACGAGTAAACCTAATATCCTCAATTTCTACCTTGTGGTTTTGCGCAGCATTCAACTTCCATGTAGCACACAATTTCGCATGCTTTAGATATCAGCTGGATTGCGACTTCATACGACGACAACAAGATATTCACCTCTTCAATAGCTCGGGTCAATGCTTTACCTCGGTCAATGACGAATTGTTCTTCCTTCTTGTTCTTGCGGGAAAGATCACGTTTGAGCGCCTCAACTGCGATCTCAAACACACCAGCACCGTTTTACCTGGAACCTGATCAATTCACCGCAACCTGTACGAATCACACTCAACGCGCACGAGTACTCATTTTGACATCTTCTGCCGGTGTGGCGAACCATTTACAATCATTGCGATCCTTGCACGGAGGACTTGAATCGTGGATTTCAGACCAAGTAATCATCCTAGGAGTTTAGTTGTGTGAGCACAGTAATTCAGTGATTGGGAAGAGTGTCTCTACACATACCAGTTCTTCAAACACGTCAAGTAGTACCTAATCCTTAGTGCCCAGATAACAGACTTGACTCCTTTTCCGCACCCCTCAAAAGTTGGTTGGCCTGAGTATACAGATAATTCTTATCCACGAAGTACTTACATGGCAATGAGGATAAAACACAAGATTCGCATATTGAGGCTCGCTCAAATCAGGAAAGTTTGCAATCTGTCGACGAGCTTCTCGCCAGAGAAACGCAGAGGAGTTTCGCATGCCAAGTGAACTTCGAGAGGACTTGGTGGTGCGCGAGAGATTCAGAAGGTTCACAGGACGCAGGAAACACGATATCTAAGGTGATTATGGTTCATGTGAGGACGTACAACTCGGTGTAGGATAACTGCCTCTGACCTGGTGCAATATGTCCAAGTTCATAGATGGTAACAACTCGAGCTTTCCCTTTCGTCTTTTCAAAGTCAGTCTTCGAAGCACTCGCAACGTTTTTGCGTGAACTCCGCATTTGCGTTGCACGAGCGCGTTTCTTCGTATATTCAGGTTCGGAGTGCTCGGAGTCGTATGCTGAAGACGCGTCCGAGCCAGTATCCCGGATGGAGGGGTCATCGTCACTATCCGTGTCTCGCCGCACTCGAAGAGGTTCCGGGGCACATCGCCCACGTCTAAGAGAGACCCTAGTCTGTACCATACTGGAGCTCTCGGACTGTCAACCAAGGGAGAAAGTCAAGGTTGGTGGCACTTCTTGCGAAACAAATTTAAATGAACGCTTAATGCACGTAATGTTTTGTAAATGGTAAATACCCCCTATGCGCCAATGCAGCTAGTAATACAGGACTAGTAGAACGTATAGTAGGCGTAGTCGTGCTACATACATGGAATTGCTTGAAAAAGTAAATAAAAACTAGTGTGATATCGATGCTACAGGATTGCACATCTCAGAACCTGGTTCCCAGCGCTGCCCGACCATAGCTTTGCCCCGGAATGCGTCGCTGAACACTAATGGAAAGTTTCCCGTCAGGTGCAAACCGTGCACGGGCACTGGACATGTCTGCGTCACCGGGTGCGAAATGCACTTGCCACTCATAGTGACCTAAGATTCATGTGAATGGATGGAGATTCTACCATTAATCAATGTCGCATGCTTACAATCAATCTCCATGTGCCATGCATCGGCAACGATATTCAACCTATCTCCTTTTTTGACAGAAACAGTCACCATTTCAGATTGTATGGCACGAGGAAGCGTGACAGATAGAGAGTGCGTTGTGAGAGTGCTCTGGATGACCATTGTCGGACGAGATTCTGGAGACGGGGAACGCCGCCAACGCGCTGTAGGCGACGAGGAGCTAAAGTCACTGGAGGACGAGCTACTACTCGAATCGATGGATGGGCACGGTGAGATAGATGGGAGGCGCGACTTTTCAAGTGTGATTTGTTCAACCCCTTTTGATGTTATGGAGTTTGTAAGGGGTTTATTAGAGTGCCTGTTTGTGCTGGTGTTTGTCATGATGAGAGGATAGGAATGCGAAACTTCGGCTACTTTGGAAGTTCCACCTTTAGCCTCTTTAGAGAAAGATGAGCTTGGAGCGCTTGTTTCTGAAGTGGACGCTGCCTTAAGTAGCATGTCAAGTGCGCTGTGGGACAGTGATGGGGTTGGACTAGTGATCTCGGGCATGACTGGCAGGGGGGAAATATTGTGTGTGCCCCGAAAAGACAAACTACATGTCAGGGCGCGCGGGTTGTCCGCATTGTAGGGTGGGGGAGAATCGCTGGGAAAACCCGTTGCTGCGCCACGAGACACAAACAGGCTGATGCTGCGACCGCGATGGGTATCTGTGGACAAATCATTGCGGAAACAACCAAGGGAACGGAACCACAGCCGGCGGCAGAAGCGAAAATGAATTTCAGGTGACATACAACCAAGCGGTGCGTGATACTAACCAGGGGCCGTATGATCCGACAACCCGTGAGCGCGCCGGAGAGGAGAAGCAATCCCGATGTTGGTAAGTGATGCAAACTTTTCAGCCTTGCTGGAGCCACGAGGGACCTGTTTGCGTAGAGGAATTGCTGATGGTGATTGGCATTTCCGTCCAGCGGAAGCAGGCTTGCTGCTGTCTGCCAAAGAGAGACTAATCCTGCGCAGGAAGCTGGTGTTCATATTTGTATTAGCGTACAAAGACATGAAGATGAAGTGGTCTTAGGGTTGATAACACGATAGAAGAGAACAACTAGAGGGTGACAACAATTTCGCAGCCTGTTGGAGTAAGTAGTCGTATTTGAAACCAAGGTGCGACATGCGACGATGCCAAGTATTCGGCTCGGGGATAGTTCAATTCTAAATCAATCGCATCAACTAGAGAGCTAAGTTACTTGTCAAAGAGGAGTGCCCAGTACATAGGACAACTCCTTTACCTCGTGTTCGTGGTTATTTAATAGAAAATCTTCTATCAGTGGAGCTGGTGAACCCTTAGGCAAACCGTATAATTGACGCAACTTCGAAGACACCGCGTTAGACGTGGCAAGATCTGACCAATTTCCGATCGTCAGAAGCCAACCTCCTGGAGAATCGAGATCCATTCGAATTCTGTCCGATCGAGGTGACCCACTGTATCTGTCCGTCAATCCGCATCGATATAAGTACATCATTCGCATTAATGTTGCCAGAGCCACCATACCTACTCATACCTACCAACCCATACTCTGCAGTCCGTCACTGTTTGGCGGGAATTGTAGGATTTCATCGTGCTGCTGGCTGGAGAAGGTTGGAGAGAGATGCTGATGTATTAGCACATTAGTTAGCACTCAGGTAAGCCTGTAGCCTGACGCTTTTGCCCAAGATCCCACGCCGCATGCGGAAGATATTTTGATTTGTTGCACTGTTTAGGCACGTTGAGCAGAATTAATGGCCGGTGCCCGCATTTAGCTACTGGTGCCAATCAGCTGAAACAAAAACTCACATTGATATTCCTACGTGACTATGCTATAGTCACCAGAAGTATGTAAGATGTCTGTAATTCACTCGCGCTTGACCAGCGCGTTGCTGGACGATATTGAGAGCGAAACGCCACTTGTGCGGCAAACAGACCCGACATTGCAACAGTAGAAATTCTAATCGGGCATCAAGAACGAAATCCACAAAATAATCAAAGCCTCTTACGTGACTGGAGCCCCTCGAGAAGGAGACGTCGAATCCTCCTAAAACGGGCATCGATTTCGTAGCTCCAGTGATTTCTTGCACCTCACTACGTGAAACACGGAGACACACCACCTACGTCATTATGGATGACACTTCATCAACCAATTACCAACTTTAAAGTTTCCGTGCCGAATTCACCCCAGTCAGATCTTTCATAGTATGGGAACGTCATCAAATGACCTTGATACCTGCAATAACAAGAAGGCGTGCATGATCAACAGCGCAGCACAGAAGGAGCACAGAAAAATTACTGAAGAAGTAACGCAGTCGTTCACGGCGATGGCTTGATCACTTAATAAGATGGCCCCACGCTCCCCATCATAGCCGAGTTTACTCGTGCAATACACGAGCTACGTCAAATCAATGACATCTACAAATACAACAGGCTTCTGTTCTTGCTTCACCTTCTTGTTCCTGTGTTCTGTTTCCTTTATTCTGCGCGAACTGCCTTCTCCTCGGACAAGAGCATTGGGCCTGTTGCTCTCTACCTTGACGTCATTAACAGTGAGATCAATGATTTCCTGAGATGCCTTGCGCTTCAAAGGTGCTGGGACTGGTATGACTCCGTTCGCCTTTAAAAGATCTACCCGAAGATGTTATAAGCAAAACAAGGAAGAAAACACAGAACACAAACTTCGGTCTCTGTATTTGAATGTGAAGATTGCGAGAGGTTGACCGATGTACTCTGAGTTGCGCATCATTGTTGATTGAACCACAGTTCCACTACCAAGCCTAGACGAGGTGTGTCAGTTGCTAGTGTTCAGTTTGGCAACCTACTTACCCTACACAATGTGTCACTGCTTTCTTTGAGCGCTCGTGCACTTTGTGTTCAGTTTGAAGATTGGTCTGCGAGGGATAGCAGAAATCGCTGAGCACTATTCTGCAAACCTTGACTTGGATTTGTCCTAAGTTGGCTGATGACGTATCCACGAATTCGTCTTCATCTAGACAACAGTGAAGTACTTAACCAATAAAATCATGATGAGCAGACATACCGGTGAGCCGAACAGTTGAGAATACGAATGGTTTGGTGATCCTATCCGTGACATACACGTCACTAATCTTGACAATATGATTCGTGTTCGCCTTGAACTTGTTACCGTGGCACACCTGTCCATCAAGATAGACGAATGCAGCAATGGCCTCGACGCTACTGGCAGAGGTATCTTGGCAATGCACAGAAAACTCCTAAGCACGTCAGACATTAGAGGGACTAACAGCTTCAAGGTGACGCACCTTGCCAGCTTCCGACGCAATCCAGCATGTCACTTCATTGGTCGCCGGAAGTGTCTCCACAGCGTAAGTTTCCAGCGGCTGACCATCAACCGAAATCCATGCGGTGTACTCCTGATATTTCAGCATACTTAGGCAAAGCTTAAAATAAACTGTGCGGGAATGAGAGGTTTGGGTCAGGGTGGCTACTGTGCCCCAGACTGTGGCGCCGCGGCCCTGTCCGGCATTGCCCACTGATGATTACGTGAATTGCCTTTTAAACTGTTAGCCCTTGGTTAGCCCATACATGCGACACCCCAGTGTCATCTTCCGGGCACCGCCAATCCTTTATAAGATTAGAATGGCTTCGACAACATCGGACAAAGCGACTCCAGAGCGGCGGGTTGAGCTTTTGCAGAACCTCGCTGAAACCAAAATTCGTTTCGCGGAAGCCTCGAAATCACTATCTCACGCTCCGACACTGGTAGCTGTGTCAAAGACTAAGCCGGCATGGATGACTCGTGCTTGTTACGAGGATGGTCAAAGGGATTTCGGAGAAAATTCTGATATTGACCTCGTGAATAAGGCGAAAAAGGTTAGTACCTGCCTCCACACGGTGATTGAGAAGGGATCGACTCGCGAGTCCGATTGATAGCTGGCAGATCTTAACAGCCTTCGATGGCACTTCATAGGCGTAATGAAGAAGACAGAGGGAGACGACCTCCGGAGGCAAGCAAGGATGAAGGAACTCACAAGTATGTGCTTTGAGTTCATCCCCATTCTTACTGTGACGATTATTCTGAAAATTAGCGGTGTTGAATCTTCATGCTATCCAAAGTTTGACTAGCATCGAAGATGCTGACATTTACAACGATGGCATCCCCGCCGATCGCAAGACACCTCTCAACGTCCTCTTACAAGTCAACACGTCTGGGGAAGTCCAGAAGTCGGGACTCCAATATGTGGATGCGGAAACTGAAGTAGCCGACTCCCCACTATTCAAGCTTGCCTGTCATATCATCAAACATTGTCCCAAATTGCATTTACAGGGGCTGATGACTATCGGCTCGCAGGTGGAATCTCTAGCTTCGTCGGAGCGGCCAAATCAAGATTTCGAGACGTTGAAGAGGACCAGAGATGTAATAGAAAGGATGCTTCAAATCAATCCCGCTTTCAATGGGAGATGGGGGGACAACGGGCAACTGCTGCTCAGCATGGGTATGACGGCTGATTTTGAGGCAGGGTTAAGAGCTGGTAGCCACATTGTCAGAGTAGGGACTGGCATATTTGGATCAAGACGTATGAAGTAACAACATAGTCCGGTTGTAGTCCGGTTGTGTCTACCTTGGTGTGACGTCACAAGGATCTGCGACGCGTTGCGTCACGCTTCGTTTGTTGATCACAACGTGGGAAATAGCTATTCAATCTCCGCCTACTGTAGGTTCCCTCCTCCGCTGATCATCGTCGCCGACGCCGACGCCGGGATCAACGGCAACGACGAACAAATATACGCCTGCGACGTTGAGCTCCTGACGAAAATTCATGAACAGGATCACACACGCTGTTGGAGGACTCGAAAACCCAATGACACCTGCAAACCCCAAACCACCAGGAAAGCGGAAAGCAATTGATGACGTTAATCCCCTTACACAGGCAGCGAAGAGGGCAAAGAGCCAGGTATGTCATTTGCACCTTGTGTACATTTGCTTTTTTCAACGACGATGTATTACAGCCGAACGGCGCGTCCAAACGAAAGTGTGAGTGAGGGTTACAAGGCAAGTCGCGTAAAATGCTCATATTTCGCGTCTAGACATTGGCGAAGAACAGCCAGGTGGGCTTGTCATTGTACGGGCGCCGATATCGCGTCCTTCATCTCCGCAGAACAACTACTCGTCCTCCCAGCTATCGACTACAACTACGCGAGCACCATCCCGTCCTCCCTCGTCTCATTCACAACCTATTCGCTCCAGCTCCATAGCTGGGCCTTCTGAACAGCCAGCCAAGAAGTTAAAGGCTGATTCGTCACGAGCACCTACCGGCGCCAAGCCACGCGATGTACCATCTTCGACCCGTGAGGAACCAGAGTTAGATGAGGATATCAGGCAGATGGAATCTGAGACTGTCAATCTTCGTCAACGATCACGCGCCAAAGATGCAATCGACTCCTCTTTCAAATTCCCTCCCTCTACACCTAAACCCTCCTCTCAGCGATACCCCTCTCATGCGCTTCACACACTACCGGACAGCGAAACCCCACAAATACAGCGCAACAAATTACTTCGTGAAGGGGTGCCCCTTCCCCCGCGTACCCCACAAACAAGGACACCCCAACACTCTCGACGAACGTCAATGAGCGCGCGCGGCAAGCGTATAAGCACGAGTTTTGAAAACACTGGTGTTATCGGTGCGTTTCTCTTCTAATTTTAAATACTATGTGTCTGCGCATCTCCCTGGGTTTTAATCAGTTTTCTTAGCTCAACCACATGCTACTGTATCCGATTCCAGTTTTTATAAGCACATCGACTGCGACCTTCCTGATCCACAACGCGCACGTCAGCTACTCGTTTGGTCGGCTGCCCGTGCTATGACGAGAATATCTGAAGCTTCATCTTCAAGTTCAAAGCCTCAGTCAAAATCCAAAGCTTCAAGTAGCGGAAGTGGCAAAGATCCACCTCCGCTCGATGAGCGCAGGAAGAAAATTTTGAAGACCGTCCAGGATGACTTCATTCGCATGCTTGCGGAGAAGAAGATCGATACGTCTGTATATGGTCATGGTCCTGACGGGCAGGCTGGGGACGAACGAAATTTGAAGCCGAATGAACAGAATGTGAAGAATAAAGATCGGGAGATCAAGTTTCGCGAACATATCGAGCGGTTCGTTGTCAGTCTACATCCATGACCGTGAGCAACCTAACGATTTATCCGCGACACAGTGCGCAATCGGAGGCTGATGCGTGGACCCAAGTAGATCACTTTTACAACTCTTACATCACCAACTCCAAGGCAGATCTGGAGAGACGACGTCAAGCTTTACAGCCCCCTTCGTCTGCTAAGGCGAAAGGCAAACAACGAGCCACTTCACAAGAGCCACCGGACGATTGGGGGTGGCTGCTCCCTCGTGAGGATGAACTCTCGGACCACTTTCGAGAGAAGATCGATGTGGATCTCATCAAACGCATAATGTCTGATGTGAAATCAGAATCGAAGAATTTTCTCGACGAACGAATAGCGGGCGTCCACTTTAAGGTGGACAGTCTGTTCTCGTTCGTCAACTCTGCGGTTCAGACGACCAACGTAGCTGAGTCAGAACTCGACTATCGGTTCTCTTTACTGTCACTGGCGCTCTCAACTCGATCGCGTTCCCTTCCTTCCTCATCACATAGTTCTTCCCTTTCGTCACATCTACCTCTGATGCAGAGGGGCTTAAACCAACCGCCACCTGACGACCAACAAGATCTTTTCCGCGCACTGTCACGAGTAGATATGGACCGCTCGCCAGCCAAAGTTGGGGATGCTGCACGGCGAGCTGTCCGAGAAGTGCAGCGAGTAAAGGAAGGCGGTGGATTTGCAGGCGAGCGGCGGCTGACAGGGCTGCCGTCCGGAGTTGGAGCGACACCACGCAAGATACCAGGGACGCCTCGGCGGAAGGAGCGATGACAATAGTATTTTACTTTCCCCCTGCAGCGTTTACGCGTGCTAGTGCTTGTATTGTCTATTCCTTGTGTCCGCAGGATGCGGACTGTGATTCTAAGCAAGATGTATCAGAGGGTATTACCTGTCTAACGCGTATCTTATTCTAAGTATTGTGGTTTTTTCGGTCGTCCGGTCCTTTCGTACTTACTAGTGCTACAACTGTTTCCGCCCGACGGACAAAACACTGCTCACCCATTACGTGGTGTAATTGTCTGGAGGGACAATTGCAATGATATCATTCAGGTTTGTTAATGACACAACTAAGGGAATTCAACAAGTTAGGTCAGTGAGTGGGTATCGCTATCAGTGATGAATACAGCAGGGAGATAGTAGGTGAGGATCAAAGCCGCAGAATCATATGTATTTATGCAACTTTCCTGTCAGGAAACCCGAAGGAAGGATGATCCAAAACGTCATGACCTTCATCCTCTTATAAGTTATAGCTTATCGTTATACATACACAGGAGAAACTGCCACAGCATGCCCAGGGACTAGTGATTAGTGACATCAGACTGCCAAGTTGATAAGTGAGCCTCAGCGCTCAGCAGCGGGCCGCTGCGCAACATGGTCGATCAGAGGCATCTAACCACATGCATACACCACTTGGCCAGCTTGGTGGCCTACCATATGTAGGTTGTTGTTGCACCTTGTAGGCCAATCGTGGGCGTATAAGTAGCGGCCCATATTGTGGTTCTTGTTGCCAGTAAAAACACCCGCGGGGCCCCCAATTTCCGACAAGTTCCTTCTCTGTTCAAGCTCACCTTTACCTTATCGCTGTAGGATTTCCGCTGAAGCGAGCACCCTCCTCGGTAGTCAGGACCAGTAACAACCCGCTCCTTGGACCCTAAAGAGTACATAAAATGCGGTTTGATTTTTTTTGAATTTGGCAGGTGAGTAAGTAGATTTTACGCATGAGACCTTCAACTGACCAACTGCGGTGGTTAAGTAGAGTACAAGGTCCATCTATCTTATCCATGGGTTACTGTGTGCGCGGCAAGGGGACTCAACTGTTGAATCTTTCCTACAATGAGTCATGCTGGGTAATTCACGCGCCCAACTTCCTTCACCCTCGTCGTTTCAGACGTCACACATCCCCAACTAGGTGAGTCATGCATATTCGGACCCATGAGACCGATGGGCCTTCGATACGACGATATGTAAAAATGGTTTGTCTGGTCTGTCTAGGTCACTGCTTCTTGATGCCCGGGCTTTAAAGTAACTGTATTATCTGCACTGGCGTCGCAAGCCCGCTCACAGTAAGATACATTTTATTGCTACATCAAGCACTCCTGACATGTCTCGTCGGCCTACTAGACAGCGGTAGATGGTCAGTAGCATTTGAATTTGACAAGGACCGTACTTTGCGGATACGGTTACACCGTCGATTTTGTGTGGTGAGTAGTGTTAGTTTTCTGCCCGTAACCCAACTCGTGTGGGCGCTTGTCCACGGTTCTTGGCTAGGCTACATACCGTACGCGTTGCAATGGCGTGGATCTCATTTCGCTTCTTTCATCTTCACTACCCCTCTTCATAAACATACCACCAACCCCTTCATTGTGCACTGCTCGAAAGAACATGCAGGTACTATCATCCACAGTCAACTCTGTAATCAGGTGTCTCTTCTACTCAACTCGTCTTTCATAATCCTTTGTAACGCACCCTGCTTCGTCACCAGATTAAGAAGACCTAGATCGATCGCTAGGCGCTAATATTTTCACACTTCTAGTATCGATGCGGTGTTTCATTATCGGGCATGCGTATCTCGTGCGGCGAGTAAGTAATGTATCTTGACCCCAAAGGACCCCACTCTGAGCCAACAAAAAAAAGTAAAAAAGTAATGTATCTTACCGGCATGTTCGTTTGCCTGCATAATAACGATCTTACCCTTGAACAAGCTTTCGATGCTCCGCATCAAAGTCTTCTGCGCTGGCGCCGGATTACGTTGACAGCTACACCCTCTGCTTGTCTCGACGAGAGGCTTGACGGACCCCCCCCCAAAAAAAAAAAAAGAACCGTGGGCAATAAATCAAATGGCATTGCATGTCTGTCGCGTATCTTAGTACATATATGTTGTGGCGATTGACAACAGTTGCAATCCAGTGAACTAGTTGGAAGAACTCACACTTCACATCCTGAGTTTCGAATTTCCTGCCAGCCATGCACACGTTTGAACGAAGTGTCGATATTGGTATTATAACGTCGTTTGGTTTGACTGTGATATTGCTCGTGGTGACGGGGATCAGTGAATGGCTGTGTGCGCACTTTGAACGGTGATTGCAGGTTATTGGTCGTACCTCCAGGGAACCGAGGAAATGCGGACGAGTAACGGGGGATGGTAGACTCACGGGAGACGGAACGAGTGGGGACATCGGATTTGGGAACTTTGTTGGGTATCTTCTCAAACTCCAGAGCGTCAAGCAACTCAGACTTTGCGCCGGCAACGCCCTTCTTGCCACCCTGAATGAGGTCCTCTTTCTGGGAGGATGAACGAGGGAATGTGATCTTGACACTCTACTTCCCCTCCAACCGAACGGCGTACTTGGTACTCTGACCAATGAGCGAGGCGTGGTACCGTTCAGGGATTTTCAAAACTTCGGAAGTTTCGTTGGCCTGGGGGAGCGTCAGCAACGGGACCGTTGAGATACGTCATAACTTACGAGCCTCTCAACTTGGAACAACAATCGGTTTTTTTTTAGCTTCCTCTACGTTTTCCTTACGACCTGTGATCTATTTGCAAGTGAGAAATGGGGAGAGAGAAAAAGGTAAACTCGGGCAGTTACCTTGTCCTTGGGCATCTTTAGGAGTTCTTTTGCGACATCATCTCTCTCTCCACAGACGAGGGCGACGCCGAAGGAGAAAGGGGATCGTAACCCAATAGAACCTGGGATTCCTCAGCAGACTCCAGAGGGAAGAAGACCTGAACATTGTGCGCCTCGGGGAACTGTTTTAATCTAGTCATATCGATAAGCTTCACCCTTGAGCCATATCGCAGCTCATGCGCACACCTTAGCATTTTACCCTGGATGACGCGGTGGATGAACTAAGCAATCGAAATCTCCTTCGTTGCACCAATGAGTTGGCTGATGAGATCTGCCTAACTACCGCGTCCACCGCAGGTTTCTCATCAACAATGTCTATGTTGAGAACTGAAGCTTGGGCAATGGTGGCAGGAGACGGTGTAAAGATCAAGGCAGCAGGATGGGCATTAGTCAAGGTCTTTGCATAGTTGATAAGTGTCATATATGTGAGGAGTTGCTTTGAAACCGTCAGGGGACCAGGTAGAGGGAACTCGTAGATGAATTGTGAATTCGCCCTGACCATGACAGCACCCAAACTAGTAGGAAGATCGTCTGTCATTCTCCACACCATGACCTCGTCGCCAGGATCCTCGGGGGAAGCAACATTTGCTCTGGACCATGATTTCGTTGACCGCCTTACCAGCAAGAAGATGATGCTGGCGCTTGAACAAAGAAATCTTGAGACTGGTTATGTTTGTCATGAATGCTTCGATGGTAGCTGTGATGGTCTTGGCGACCCAAACGATGCCCTCGTGATCTCCGGTGACGGTAATCTCCCGCTCAGCTTGATTCAAAGGGATATCAACATCGGCACCTTGCGCTGCCTCGATGATGGGGCCGCGACGAGTAAGGACAAAGGGAAGAATATAAGGGGGAATGTCTCGAACTCTTTGGGTAATCTTTCCAGTCCGAGAAGCGATGATCTTATCAATCATTGCATGAGCTTCTAGGACAAGTGGGTGCGGGCCGATGATAGTGATGGGTACCATGACCTCCTCTTCCTCGTCGCCCTGGAGCAGGTAAGTAGTTCCGTTTGTCGTTCCGATTGCATGTCCGTTGGGGATACCATCCTTGCGAGGAATATCGACCTTGACACCTGTAGCCTCGCGAACCTTGTTGAGAGTAGCACCTATAGGTATGAACAGTTAATGTACGGAAAGTCACCGGATGGGAAGCCATACCCATGGGACCGATTATGGCGGGAATGGTGAACGCGGGGGCACTCAAAGTCAAAGCGACCTAGCGAAGCAGTTCAAACACAGAAAGGCGTGGCTCAGAAATCAGTCGTGTACCGTAGGGTTCAAAGTGGCCAGCAAGTTGCGCTTAGCCTTGTCAAGCTCTTTGTGAGTCTCAACCTTCATGAGGAAGGTAGTCCGCCGACTCTGATTTGTCGATGCCTCTATTTTGACCTTGAACTTTGCAACGATCTGCTTCATGATTTTACCGTGGGAAGTGTGTTTGCCATCCCTGATAGGAAGTTCGACTCGAGTGACCGTGAAATAATCTGTAATGACTGGTGTAGACTTGACAGTAGTAATGCGAGGGTCAGTATCAGAGCCCCAGGCAGACTTTCCAGATGCAGCGGCAGCAGGTATCGGCAGGGTCCTGAACGACGCGTCTGGGCTTAACAGGCGTCGTATCCCCGAGAGATGGAAACAGCCTTCAAGCTTCAAGTTCGGGTCTCTTCTAAGATATGTCGTCAGGTCAATATGTCATGTGCACTGACCTGGACGATGAGCTGCATATTTAGATTACAGTCGTCCAAAGCGCGGCAGGAAACAAGTAGCAAAAGGCATATCGGATAAAGCGAAAAACGTGTCGAAGCTAGTCTCTCCTATAGCCAGACCTATATAGACGAAGAAAGATAGTTGTTCCTTCTAATAGGTTGAAGCCTAAATAGGTGCTATAGCGGCTTCGAACGCTGTTCTATCTAAGCCCCGACGTAGGCCTAGAGGCAGTACGACGGTAGTAGTTGTTTGGCAGTTGGCATCAGAAATTGTTTCCGCTTCGGTTCTGTCAAGTTGTCGCACTTCATTTTCTTCTCATAAGCAGAACTTCAACTGGAAAGTCGCATCGTCGTAGAACCACTGGGCCAGCCGGGGCTTTTTCATCGCTTTTCTTTATGATCTGTGCTCATCACATTTTCCGGTGCTGCAAATGGCTTGAGCGGGCGGGCGACCGCATCACAGGCGCAGCAGGCCCATATTTTGTTGGACTTGCAATAATACTCCAGACAATTGGAGCAGCCAGCTTTTGTGTGTGGTTTCCAGTCTAATCATCGTGTACACTCACCTAAATTTTCAAACCCAGTTACCGTGATTCAACCTAGCCTTCCCCTTCCTTGGCTTACAACACCCCCTTGCGTACTCATTGCACTCAACCTTTTCACGCACTACTACTATGTATGTACGGTACCACCTGGTTTCGTTCAAGATGAGGTTTTGCAGCCTGGGAGCGGTCGGCTTTGGGCCTCACCCTCGCGACCTTTCCGACTGTCGAGCTCTGGAGTTCGGTGGTCCAACAGTGGTATCACTCTATTGAAGGCGAGCACCACTAGGTGTAGGAGGTGTGGATTGATGCGCCCAGAGGTGAGCGCGCCTAGTAACTCGACGCGGTACAAAAGCTGATCTATGCTTCACGGAGAGGGCCCACCATTGTCGGATATGTGGTCGGTGTGTGATGAAATATGATCATCATTGTCCTGTAAATGCTTGATCATTCTGTCCCCGGATTATTGTTCACTCATTGGTTGATTAATCTACAGTGTGAGTCCCTTTTACTTTGGCCCACTCCTCCCCCTCAGCTCCCTGCAGGGATAAACCAATGCGTTGGACTACACAATGAGAGGCATTTTGTCCTTTTTATGTATGTCCCGCTTCCTTTGTTCAATTCCCAGCTCATACACGTTCATATCATTAGGGCCTACCTAGTATTATCCACCTTCTGCTTGAGTATTCTTGGTTACTCTGTAGCGCTAGAGGCGATCGGCCTCACCTTTAGTGTGCGTCGCCCCGACGATATCATACAGCCAACCCTCATCACATGTGACAGAAACACTGGCCGTATATGGTACCACAATTAGCTTATATTCTCACATATATGCTCTCTGTTGTTCTTTGCGTTGCAGTGTTTATCATGTTCTCCTGGCACCTGTGGGGTGTCTCTCGCGGAGAGACTACCGTCGAGGCACAAGATCATGAAGTCTACAAGCGCGTTGCAAATGACAGAGGCGATGTATGTGTTTCTATCCAACACGATGATACGCATACTGATACGCCGTGCAGAATTTTGTAAATTCTTACGACCTTGGGTAAGTGAGATATTGGGTTGGCGTGCATGAACGTAATACCCTTTTTGTTTAGAAAGAGCACCAACCTGCGTCTTTTCTTCAACATTGGTCCGGATGGATAGTAAATCGTGACCTCTTCTTGTTTTATTCTTCTAACCTCCTGTTCACAGCCCGTGGTATACCCTCATTTTGCCCCTGCGGATAATGCCCTACACCGATGGCCGATCGTGGGCCCGACGTGAAGGATTTCAGAGACACCAGGGCGTCCAAGAAGGAGAAGAATTGACGGATGACGACGACGACGACGAATAAACTGGTAGTTTATTTGTCTCATTGGTGAGCTGAAAGTTTATTTTGCATGACTGATGATGAAATATGCCGGGGCCATATGATTCTTTGAATGTGTGTTTACCACCTTTCGAAAGTTGCTTGATTTGCGTCCGGCTGGGTTTGCCTTTGAGGCTTGTTTTTTTATCTGATCTGTTCTGGCTACTGTCACCATCGTGTTATCTCATTACTGACTGGTGGCGTTACAGGAATACATTAGTGCATCATGAAGATTCAGTTAATACAATTTCCCCATCTTCCGCAAAAATATGTGGTATGGGCATACCTCATAGCCTGACGCGTCTTCATCCCTTTACAGACACTAGTAGTTACCCCAGGACGTTCCCCGGCAGTCTTATGAATACCGATCATTACCACCCCTCGTGATCCTTGGGAATTCAAGTTCCCAAAGACCTCGTTTTTATCATGAACCGCGTGTAGTCTTTGTCATATTTGTTAGTTGAGGGTAATCCTAAAATTCTTGGGCTTCGGCTCTCCGACACATGCGACTTATTCGTGAATTGTCCCTCGCTAAAAGCTTCAATCATGAAGCACACACACATCGCATCTCTAGGCCACTTCGTCCTGCCAGACCCTAATGCAACGCCGTCCTTCACTGCTAGCAATGACTCGCAAGATGAAATAGTCCTTCCCCCATTTGGCTGCTTCTCAGTTCATCTGCCCAAACGTATGTCCAAAACACAGATTCGGAAGAAATTCGCCAAAGTGACATGATAGAGAGCAACAGGTGAAAGTCTGCCTAAGTTGAGAAGCCGACGCTTACGTCGCCAACGACATCTCTGCTTCGGTAAGATCGCATTGTAAGTCCCGTGCTTCTAAGTTGTCAAGCACGCCTCCAACTCAGACACTAGCTGTAGGTCTGGTTTCTGGCCTCGCAATCAGCAATCGTGTGGGTGCCGTCTGAATGTGCCCGATGCGCCCTATGGTGTTAAAGAGCGCCTCCTCCGTCTTGGACTCGGCGTGCAGCAGACCCTGTGTGCCCTGCCCTGCCCTGCGTCCTTCTCTGTCAGGTCCCGCGGGACTCGTAGGGGATGTAGCCGTCGTCGTCCTAACCAGCTCACTTTGAGTCTTGGAAGGAGAGTTTCGCAGAAATACGCACCACGGTGTATGGCACCTGGTTGAATGGTCGCATCCCTTGAACACGCGCATGGTGAACAGCTGGGATGGTCTTCTCCCCGCAGACAAGTACCCCATACCCATATCATGTCATACCTTGCGGACATTAGTGTCTCGAGAAGACAATTCAAAGTACGTGGTCCGATCACCGGTTTCGCCGCCAACGTGCACTCATCGTCATCATGCGCGGTTGGCGATCTATTGGCAAATGGTGATTTCGGGGATCATGATGAATTGTTAGAGTCAAGTCGCTCCCGATCGGTGTGCGCGCCACACCGATGAGGCATAAGAGACATGTGGGCTCAAATCCAATGCTGACATCACCAGGTGGGGGAGATGTGTGGAGTGAGGCATCGTGTCGTTGGTGGCGATCATTGAACGAATGTTTGTCGTGCGTACTCACAGGTCCTCAATTCAGCAGGTCAAAGGTCAAACAGGTAACGGCCAGTACGATTGTCCTGGTGTGGAGATTGGCAACATAATATCTGGATACATGTGGTATCAATACAACAGAATACGGACATTAGTAAAGTAAGTTCGTGAACATCCTTCCAACCCCCCACAACCTAGGTATCATCCAATATTTTACGGGTGCGGCCCCAACACGTCAAACACTTCCTTCTCCCTGTCTCTAAATGCCTTGATCCTACTGATCGACAAGCCGAGGGCATTCACCCTATTTGCAAACGCCACAGCCCGTCCCTCCAAGCTCCGTTTACGCATCCTGCTCCCATCCTCCCCAGAATCCCTGCTAACGCGTACGCCATCGATGATGATGACCTTCACGCGCTCGAACCTAGGTTCCGGTATATCCTCGTCACCTCTCTCGATAGCCTTGATCGTCGCCTCGTTGTCTTCATCCTGCATTACCTGCGCGTCCCGCCCAATGGAAATGAGCTCTATCATGAACGGCCGCAATGGCTCCGGACATGCATCTGGCGTGAGTTTGTGCCCTCCAATCTCTCGTGCACTGACGCACATGATCGCGTTTTGATCGGGGAGGATGATGCCCTCCGTCGTGGCCACCTCGAGAATGGCAAGGCTGACTGCGGCGAAATGTGCACGTGGGGGGTCGTATTTGAAGAGTCGTGCGAGAGGGTGTGGGTTGCGAGTTTGGAAGGCGGTGATATCTTCTAGCACAGCTGCGAGCGCCGAATAGAGGGTTTCGCGGATGAAGTCGATTTCTGGGGTGTCTTGGGTGAGGATCATAGGGGAAGGCGTGCGTGACGGAAATGCAGACAGAACAGATGAAGGAGATGAAGGAGACGGGGATAACTTTTTGGATCCATACCCAGATGAACCGGGGGCAAGCGAATCCGAGTAAACAGGTGGTGGCACGAAGCTCGTCTTGACCTTCAAACCCCTCCCTGATGAGCCTGCATCTAATGCAGCCTGCAAATCGTTTGCGTATCTATCCTGAAAAGTGCGTCTCTGACTGATTTCAATTGCCACAGCGCGTAGATCTGCGGCGATACCAGCACACTCAGGGTTTGGGGGGATAGAGAGGGGTTGGAGGCCGCAAATGATGCGAGCAAGATCATGCTGGTGGTCAGGTATGAGACCCTGGATGCGCGGCACGTTAGCTCCCCAGACTGCTAAAAAGCCAAGAAATGTAGGAGGGCAATTGTCTGCGGAGAGCTCGAGCGGCGGTGCGGACTTGGTAGCACGGGGAAGTGGTACAGACGGTGGGTTTGTTGTGCATCGGAGTGCAGCGAAATACAAGCATAATGCTGGGCCTACCCCATTGACGTCAGACGCGAACATGTGACGGGGAGCAGTAGTGCTGCTGCGCACCAGATATCATAAGATCTGCTTCTGCGGACGCTAGAACTTGGTCCTCGATCAGTTTCTCTACTTTTGCCTGTGTAAGAGACGACTTGAGATATGTGTGAAAGCTGTTTTGAACATATTCTTCGTCGAGCTTGGATGGAGGCATGACGTCGTAAGTTATCGACTTTGTTAGTCACTGACTGTGCTCAAGTCTATGTACTTAGCAATTCCTTTATTTTTAACATAACACCAAATACGAATTATTTAATTTATAGAAAAATATCTCGAGGAAGTCAACTGCAAGGAGCCATGGCAGTGCCATGAAGAACCTTAAGCTTGTGCTATGGTGCTTTTGTCTTATACCCACAAATACGTCACGGTCGCTTCCTTTCTCCTTCTCTACCTTCCATCATGACATCCTACCTTCAGAAAGCAGGTGTAAAGCTCTTTGAAAAGAACCTCGAGCAATACCGACCCGAAGACCCACTTTACGAGTCTTATACTGACAGCCGTGGTAAACAACGCCGCAGAAAGGTATGCCCTAACCCTTTGCCCATAACGCCGAACATCAATCTCATTTTACAGCGCGCGATACCTCCTGGCCTTTCAGCACGTGATGCAAAGATTCTCAAGTCGGTGCAGCGTCGGGCACACTACCTAGACAAAGGGTTCTCAATCTGTGGTCTCCGATTTGGCTGGACCTTCATCATTGGCATGATCCCTGGTGCTGGCGATGTCGCTGACGTCGCGCTCAATTATTATCTTGTCGTCCGCAAGGCAAGGCAGGCTGAGCTACCAGCTTGGCTCGTGCAACGCATGCTCCTCAACAATGCGGTATCGGCTTTGAGTGGCCTAGTGCCCGTAGCGGGCGACATCGTCATGGCCGTGTTCAAGGCGAATTCGAGGAACGCCGCGCTCCTGGAGGAGTTCCTGAGAATAAGAGGGGAAGAATTTTTGAAGTTGCAGGCGGACAGGGAGCAGGGAAGGGTTGTGAGTGTGCCCGAGAAGGACTTGCATCAGGTCAAGCCCGGTGCAGGCATGTCAGATGATGCGGCAGCGACTACGTCACAGCAGAAGACAAAGTTTGTGTCCTGGAGCCGAACAAACCGTAAAGACAAGCAGCGCGCCCCTACTCCCGGTGACAAGGGAAGGTTCGTTGAGGATGTGGAGCCAGATGATGCAGCACCCAGCGAAGAGGCGGAGACCGGTGCCATTAGGCTGCAGAACAGATGATATTATTGCGTTATTTGGTTGGAGGTCTACGTTCTGCCTTGATATACACGAACTCTCAGATCTCAGCGCTGATTCGGAGCCATCCCCTATACACGGACCGCTCTCTATAATATCATTGTATACCAGTATTGTAGCTATATGTAGTTAGCTTTATCTGTTGCTTGCAAATTTGTATGGCCACCCCGCAATTGATAAGTGGTGCATGTATTGCTACTGATAATGGTTCGCTTCCAGCAGGAAGTATCATTCTTGGGTGATGGCCTCGTCATGTGGATGATAACGTTGATAAGCTTGAAGGCTTGGAAAATGCATACGTACTTTCTGGTGAGAATATGAAGTTCATATGTTGGAGATGAATCAGGCGAGAGACATTCCTGGACCCTATCAGGGTGCAGGTATACTTAGATGGGTCTCAGTAAGCATCAGGTACCTCCGGTGCTACTTACCTGATCAATCGGAAAACTGAACAGGTTGGACTCGCCCAAATTTCTAAAATGGATTAGCCTAGAGCACAGATTCTAGGAGCGTTGCCTTCCTCACAGCAACATCAATCGCGCATCATGACGACTCTAGTCTTCCGCATACAGTTACGAAGAGTCTAGTCTCGAAGAGGCTGAGTGTGCAACGCGTATATAGAGGGCAGCACACAGATCACGAAGGTATTCATTCCTCCCTGCAATCACGACCGCAATGGTTCTCAAGATACACGGTCATGCTGTAGCTCCCCTTGTCAGACTTGTCGCAGAAGTCTGCCAAGAGAAGGAAGTGCCGTACGAGCTTGTGAACGTAGAAGTCTATAAGGGGGAGCAGAAAACGCCTGCCTTCAGAGAGTTCCAGCCTTTCGGACAAGTTCCCTACATAGTCAGTGACTGATTTGGATTCAGCGTGACAGATGCTGATACGGCCGTGGCCAGGATGACGATGGGTTCATCCTCTATGAGTCCAAAGCCATTTGCAGATACATTGCAAAGAAGTACGCATCACAAGGCACTCCAGGCCTCGTGCCCCATGACCCGAAAGCGGAGGCACTCTTTGAACAAGCGGTGTCAATCGAGACGTCGAACTTTTACCCGTTTGCATTGGGTATTGCCACGGAGAAAATCATCAAGAAGTAGGTGACCTAACTCTCCGCGGAGTTCGAGGCTGAAACGTTTTCAAACAGGCATCGTGGCCTGGAACCCGACGAAGCCAGAGTATCCGTATTGTTGAACACCCTGAACACAAAACTAGATGCATACGAAGTTATACTTGGAAAACAGGCGTATCTTGCAGGAGGTGTAAGTGATCACGATTGTTGAACGACCGTATTGCTTGCTCAAGAGGAGCTTTGATCAGAACATTACGTTGGCCGACTTATTCCATCTTCCGTATGGAACAATCGTGTTCGAAGAATTGGCGTATGACATGTTGGAAAGTAGACCAAATGTGGCAAGGTGAGGGCACGTTCCTAAACCATGGGATATATTATACCGGCGAGCAGACAACTCACTATCCTACCTCCTCACAGGTGGTGGAAGGAGATCACTTCGAGACCTTCTTGGCTTGCGGTCAAAGCCAAAGCTTAAGCCAGCGGTAGTGGGAGCTATTGGAACTCATTTCAGACGCATCTGTCCAAGTAGGGAAAGCGAAAATAAAGATGGAACTTGATGTTACATAAAATGTCTGCGCCCTCCCGCAACCTTCCCTACAGCTTATTTGCCGGACGGACGTTCGAGCTTCTGTTGTGCGCATCTGCGCATCTACCTCCGACTTCACCCGTCCGTACGTTCACAAAATTCTCAACAAGGGGGACGATTTGACGAAACGGACCAGCCGTATGTCGCAGTAAAAATTGTGGTAGGCGCGGGATACCGGCATCCGCATCGCGCAACAGGTTACTATTATGATGGCCTGCGCCGTCTTGCTCCATCTTCGGTATCGAGTCCTTCGATGAGGTGCTGAAGCCTCTGGCTCGGTATTCGTCGGCACCGCTGCGAGGGTCTTGCTGCCTTCTTGAAGGTCATCGGCCTCATTATTCCTCATGGACCCCGAGTTCGCATCCTACTACACTAAGGAAGTCACAATCATCCTCATTCATGAATTCCAAACCTCTGACGAAGAGATGAAAAAGATCGCGTTCAAAGTGATCAAGCAGTGCGCAGTCAAGGAAGGCGTCACGCCCCACTGCCCAGTATATCGAGCAGACATCCTACGATGCGATATGTGATCAAATAAATCTGAAGGGGACAGTAGGAAGACGGCTTGTTTTTATGTGCTGAATATTGTTGTTCATGGCAATGTAGGAAGAACCTATCCACCCTTTCGAACAGATGATACCTGCAATCCTAGCAAATTACCACCTAACATTTTGAGAACCTAGTCACCATCCAGACGGTCCGACTATAACTTAGTTGCCTTATCAAGCAAGGTCAATGCCAGCAGCTCCAAGTCGAATCTAGTCTCCCGAGTCCCCTAAACCAGACCTTGAAAACGGAAGATAGTCGTTCATTCTTTTTGAAGGCTCGAATCCGCCGCGTGTCGGGAACACCCCCTTTTTTCCCATAGTTTTTTCACGTCATCTTTGAGGCCTGGCTTTAACTCACGCGCAGCTCAACTCAACCCGATATAGCTTACGAGTCGCCAAGCAAGTTCCGAACGTGGTGATACTCTGTATCGTCTCTCTGCACGTTGTTAAATTGTTGGGACCATGTAAAGTTGAGGTCAAGGTTTCCCCCACCACCTCGACGTTCAACTCAGGCTCAGGCTCAGCCTCCAAACCATTTCTCTTCCTACCATCACCATCTCGCTCGCCACTTCAAGTGATCCCCTTCCGCTACAAGTTACGGTAGCTCATGAATCTTCGATTGCTTTGTAGTTTTTGTCGTGGATTCTATTCTGGGAGATATTTTACCCTGAACTGCAGTATATGTGTCGCACCGGCGTGTGCTATCAGATGACGCCTTGTGATAATGGGGATTTATGTTCTCAGTCACGTCGGGTACAGGAGCTACAGGTGCGAATCACATTCAACTTGACAACGATTTAATTCTCACCCACCTGCAGCCCTTGGTCTTCTATCGTGTCGCCGTCTCTCCTGACTTTGATGACTTTTCAGGACATCTTTCACTTCGATAAACATCTCCCTATGCTAACTATCTCTCACGCGATTTGGATAAGTAGGACTATGAAGTTCATTGTGAGGAATCAGATAATCCCAGTCCCTCGCATATAGCTATCTCTCGATCTATTCAAAATGGTTGTGAAGCTCTACGGATTCCCCACCTCAACATGCACACTCCGCGTCGCAGTGGTGTTGAAAGAAAAGAATGTACCATTCGAATTTATTCCCGTCGATCTGCTCAAGGGTGCGCACAAGGCCCCCGAGTTTACCGCCCACCAGCCTTTTGGTCAGGTCCCTTACATCGTAAAATTGTTGCTTCCTTATCCAGAACGATCGCTGATATACTTTATTTAAGGATGATGATGGTTTGATTCTTTATGAATCGAGAGCAATCTGCCGGTATATCGCCGCGAAGTACGCTTCCCAAGGAACTCCGCTGCTTCCCACTGACCCCACCGCCAACGCATTCTTTGAGCAAGCTGCGTCGATTGAAACATCCAACTATGATCCTTTCGTCTCCGGATTGGCATGGGAGTTGAAATTCACCATGTAAGCACCAGCCACCTGCTTGAACATGCTGTCGTCTGCAACTTTCAATATAGGTGGTTTGGAGGGAAGACCGACGAAGCCCGTGCTAAACTATTGCAAAACCAACTTTCTGCAAAGCTTGATGCTTACAATGTCATCCTTGGTAAGCAGAAATACCTAGCTGGAAACGTGAGTGCACGACATGTATGGATGCCGGATCATGCTGACCGAGAGATAGGACATCACTGTGGCCGATCTGTTCCATCTGCCCTACGGTGCCATCGTTCTAGATATTGGTATCGACGAATTCAGCAGCCGCCCCAATGTCGCCAGGTTGGTTATTCGTTGGTTATGATGGATTGTATACTAATATAATCTTGGGATAGGTGGTGGAAAGAGATCTCAACCAGGGCGTCCTGGGAAGCAGTGAAGGGAGGTATCTGATTATCAGAGAACATGACCAGTAGATCTAGAATGATCGTACATCACGTAGTGGAGTCAGATGCGACTATCAATCGAAGTCTTTCCCATTCCATGCGTATTGTATTACCTTTCATTATTCAAAGGTCTGGGATCGCCTCGGGTAGCTAGGTTTTTCTCATCAGTGATGCTTTTGTACTAATAATACGCCTAGCCTGCACCTCACGAAAGTTCCTCGGCGGTTGCTAGCGCTTAAGCTTAAGCTTGAGTACTATATACATAGGGTTGTCCAAGGTTCGCAAGTTGCAGTTTACGGTGAGATTCTGAGCGTCGGTTACGTCAGCAATTAAATGCGACCAACCTCAGCTTGACACTGACTTTCATGGATGATTTAACCATCGAAGACGAGAAGAAGCCTTTCGAGGCCGAACACAACGATGAAGAAATCCAACCAGACCCTGATGAAGAGCTAATGTTGGACAAGGGAAACGGGAGAGTTTGGCTTGTCAAGGTGAGCTTCCCCCGCGCTATGGCTGTTGAAAAACGGGTAGAGAGTTGCTACCCTTTACCCTCTCGGAACCTCTCGATTCCTTTCACTTTCAGGGCTTTCTAATGCTCGTTTGCGACTGAAGATACCAAAACACCTCATGGTTCGCTGGGCGGCCATTGACACAGAGGACATTCATCTTGCCACAATCCGGGTATACAAAAATGCCATCGGCCCATCTGGTCGATCCCCCCGCATCTTCTTGTTCTTACCGCCTGACCCAAATGACCCAACCCCACGGGATCTCGACCTGCCGGTCTTTTCTCCGGACGCGGCTTTCATACCTTCTGGTGAGGGGACCATGCAAGTAGACAGATATGAACTTGAAATGGTGAATGAGGACGTCGAGAATCAGCTGGTAGTCGCAGAACGTCCCAAAGACCCTGGACCTTCCGGACCAAACGCGCCTTCATATAACCCTCGAGCTAGAACGACTATTCTAACGGGTCGCATTAAACACGAATGTAACTTGCGTCCTCTGTTCAACGAGTCATACAGGCAACAAATGCGCGAGCGAACTCGAAAGTATAATACCCCGCGAAGACAGATCCTAATGATAGAAGAGGCCGGTGTTAGCCGTGGAGGTATCAACAGGTTGAGCAGTGGGGTCAACTCGGGATCGTTTGCGAATATGATTGTCTGTTTCTACGTATTCGGATTGTCGCTGGCAACTAACCTCAGCTCATAGAAATCCAAACCGAAACCTGCCAAGGGCACCTTTGAGCGTATGGCGCGTATGCCACGCAATCAACTTCTCGATCTTCTCTTCACACTCTTTCGCGAGCAACCCCGATGGGGCATCAAACCACTACGCGAACGCACCCAGCAGCCCGAGGCATATCTCAAGGAGGTCCTTGGTGCTATTGCTACCTTAAATAGGAGCGGAGAGCACAATGGAATGTGGGAACTAAATGATGTGTTCGCCAAAGAAGGGGTATGTCATTTTAGTCATGGTCGTTCTTCGGAACTGAAGTGTAGCGAGCAGATGAAAGCTGAAAATGTCCCTGGACCAAGTTCCATTCCAGAAGGTGACGTTGGGTTGGATGATTATGACGAGGACGAGGATGAAGATGACGACATGGAGGAAGTTTCATAGGTTTGTATCATGGACAGGTCTCGATGGTTCTTTGCTACTCATCATGTATATATAGTTGTTGTGAAAGACTGGTTAGCAAGCTTCCCATTAAAATACCCAGTTGAATCAGTTCGTCTGCAGGCTGTGAGCACAGCTTGACTCCCGAAATGGAATCTGATGGAAGGCAGAACCTCGATTGCGCTGTTACTTCAACTTGACTCATACCATGAATATCCCGTCGTTACTTGGTGACGGTCAGGGCAACTATAGAGTACATGTCGTGGGCAATAGTGGTGCGCACGCCGTCTTCTCATCTTATTGCTTATTGACTCAGGTCTTGCTAGGCACTGGCAAGGTGAGCTTAGAAAAAATGTTGAGCTCCTAGAATTAACTCTTTGAAGTCGACTGTAAGCGCGTATATTGCCATGAAACTCAATGTGCCACACATCTCTCTGGATGCATTTTTCTGGGGACCTGGGTGGACAATGCCGAATTCAAATGACGAGTTCGAGGAGAAAGTTTCCGCTGCGATGTCGCGCAACAAGGGATGGGTCATTGACGGCAATTACTATAGTACCCTTGGCACGCTCATCTCCGATCATGCAACAGATGTCATTTGTACGTCTTTTGGCTTACCCTTATGTACCGTAGGCTTATGCCGGCGTATCATATCTGCACCCTCCCGTTTTTAGGGCTCGACCCACCTCTATGGTTGTACTTGCCACGAATCTTTTGGCGTACGCTTCTTTGCCTGTTGAACATAATTCCGACCTGCGCAGAAGGATGCGATGAAACTTGGGGAGAGGTCTTATCAACGAAAGGCATCATCTGGTACTGCATTTCCCGCCATGGATTTTGCAAACGCAAGTTCGGTGGAATGCTCGCTCGTACCTCGATTGAAAAAGGAGGGAATATGAGGCGCCTCAATGAGTGGGATGGCGATTTAACGACATGGAAGGCTGGATTCGAGGAGATGCTGCACACACGCTAAGTGGTAATCTGCTCGTTGTACTCGTACGATTGAATACTTCCCAACGTCTCAACATACGGCGCTTGGCACGCTTGTGATGATTTGTCTCGTTAGAACAAGCCAAGGTGCAACCTCTTGGTAGTAGTCTCTTTAAGTCTTAGTCCAGTTCATAATATTGACATCTTATCGAAAGCCGCATTTGATTTGAATTTCAAATATAATATTAATACCCCAAGTAGTATTACTGTTTGATTGAACTGCAAGTCAACTCAGAATTGTTTGATCCGCGGATATGATGGTCTGTTTCTACTTATTCAAAACATCGCTTGCGACTACTTAACCCGACTCCTCATGGAGATCCATGCCAGCACATGCCCCAAGCACATCTGAACGATGGGTCCATATGGCTCGTATGCCACGCAATCAACTCTTCGATCTTCTCTCGACCTCTTTCGCGAGTCACTCCGGTGGAGCCTCACCAAGCCGCAGCGCGAGGCAATGATAACCTGGCATAACTCAAGTCCGTACTGCTACCTTAAATAGCATGGTACGATGGAATGTGCCAATGAGAGCTTTTGATGTGTTCGCCAAAGAAGGAAGGGTATGTCATTTTAGTTATGGTCGTTCTCCAGACCTGAAGTCTAGAGAGCAGATGAAACCCGAAACATGTCCCTGAACCAAGTTCCATCCCAGAAGGAATCTGCGGTGATGTTGGGATGGATGATTATGACAAGGCCGAGGCCGAGGACGAAGTTGACGACGTTTCATAGGTTCGCATGGACTGCCATTCTCGACGGCTTCGGTTTTCCACTTTGTTTCCACTCATCATATATAGCTGTTGCGAAGGACTGGTTTGCAAGCTTTCCACCAAGACACCTCGCCAGTTGAACCAGTTCGCCTGTGTGAGCAGCTCCGGAAATAGGAACTTGATGGAAGGCGGAACCGGTGAGTCAATAGGTCTATAGTCAACTCCTTCGATAGTCTGTTCCACATCATGAATATCCCGCCGCTACTTGGTGACGGTGAGGGCAACTATAGAGTTCGTATTGCGGGTAATGGTGTTGCGCACGCCGTTTGCTCATGGTATCATAATTGTCGTAGGTCTTTGTTAGGCACTGGCAAGGTGAGCTTCGAAAAATAATTATTGAAACTCATAGCATCGTTGACTCTTTGAAGTCGACCTTGAGCGCATGTACACTCATTGTGCCACACATTTCTCTGGATGCACTTTTCTGGGGACCCGGATGGACCATATCTTCAAATGACGAGTTCAAGTAGAGTTACTGCTGCAATGACGGAGTACTCCAAGGGATGGGTCATTGACGGCAATTATAGTGCCCTTGGCACGCTCATTTCCGATCATGCCACAGGTGTCATTTGTACGTCCTTTGACTTATCCACCCCTATGTCGGTATATATTCTGCTCATCTATGTTAGGCTTGACCCGGGGCCCTCTATGGTTCTACGAATCTTTTGGCGTACGCTTCTTTGCCTATTGAAGATAGCCCCGCCCTGTGCAGAGCGGTGCAACAGAACTTTGGGAAGGGCCCCATCCGCGGAAAGTATCATCTGGTGGTGCATTTCCCACCATGGGCACTGCGAACGCAAGTTCGGCGAAATACTCGCCGCTACCTCGATTAAAAAAGGAGGGAATATGAGGCGCCTAAATGAGCGGGAGGGAGATTTGACGACGTGGGAAGCTGGACTCGATGAAATGCTTCGCATGCACTAAGTTTGTTCGTTGTAGGATACTCCCTCGCGTCTCAACATATCACACTTGGTCACAGTTTTGTCTCGTTAGAAAAGTATTACAAAGTCCGACTTTTGATGACATCCCAAGCCCCTCGGTCTGAATTTCATTTCCCGAAATTGTATCTTACTCATTATTAAGAAGGAGCGATCGAGACTCGGCTTCCGTCTGATCGGTCACTATATAGTCGGAGACTACTCGTATCTCAGTCATACCAGGTTAGGTTACTCAAAGGTTGCTAAGGCAAGCTCAATATTATGCGAGGCTGAACGAGTTTGCCATCATTTTTATGCGAGACCGAACAAGTTTGACATAATGAAAAGTAGGGTCACACAACACCTCCACCAAGTAAACAGATCTCTAGAAGTAGTACTGCGCTGAGTGGAAAGTTCCGAAATCTGGTATTCTGAGGGTCAAGTCGACGTAATAGCTACACTGTGCACTCTGTCCACTAATAGTACGTATGACTCATCCTGGCTCTTGCCCCAACCTTGCTCGTTCCTCTGGAGTCTAGGTCAAGTTGTCAACCCGTGTAAATAAGCTCGAGATCTAATGTCACCTTCCAAAATAGAACAAAAAAGTCTCGTAATCCGTGCAGAATGGCAGAACCACCCTGACTTAAACCCTGAAGACGTACTCTTCTTAATCGGATGAGAATAAAATGCGGATGCCCCAGCATCTAGTACTATGAAAGCGTTGCCATCTTCCCAGTCTCTAAGATAGTCCCCTCATCGCTTGAAGGAGTTGAGCAGCACGTTGGTCGTGATGCCACTCACTGTTGCTGGTATTTCGTAGGTCTTGAAATTCATCAGATACCCGCTAGTCTTACCAGCGCACTCAATCAGGTTTGGCCCATTGCTCGTAGGCTTTGTTCTTAACACAATTCTGTACGGCGCGCTGGTTACATCAGTGCTCTTATACTTTTCTTCCTTCAAAAGGTGAGCAATGGTATCTAGTATGAATCCTCACTTGATGATCAAATCTCTGCCAGTGACGGTGGATGGATACGACTTCTTGTATGGAGTAACTTTCAACTGGGTGGACAGCTGGTTGATTCTACTTTCAGGTGACAACCCTTTGGTTATTGTCCACAGTCAACGTGATCCTGGAGTTTGTCTTTTTGTATGACACTCTTATCATTCACTTTGGTGTGTTTGTGCGTATTTTACTGGATGTATAATCCAAACCGTTTGCTACTAGGGGATGAAAATGCTCTATCCAGAGCCAACTGGGGTGTGTTATTTCTTCGTAATCCTTCCGGCGTGGTTGTCTCATTCGACGGTTCCAGTCTTTTCCTTATGTGCGTACTTCGTTTCAGTAGTCATCTGTCATCTCAGTAATCGCCCATATCATTACCAGTACCTGGCATCACGGTATTCTTGTTTCGATCGTGAGCTTCTGTTGCCGGCTGACAATGCACAAGGGCACTATATCCACCCTCGTCCAACTGTTCTTCGCCTGGAGAATCCGCATTCTGACGTCTAGTGTATGGCTAGTCGGAATCATAGTCTTTCTCGCGACTGCCGCATTCCGTGGGTAGTCCAACTGTTCAAACCCACCGTTAATATCTCATGGCTGCCAGTTTGTGGCATTGGAACTACAATTGCGATCAATATGGTGCCCGTGTTCACCCAGTTTCATAGATTCGAAGTCGTATTCGTCATTGGGCTTGCTTCTTCTGCGGTGGACAACCTCCTGATCACCGGGCTGCTTGTCCGTTCACTGGTCTGTCATTGCTGATTTGATACGGGCATACCTTCTTTAACATATTTCAGAGGGAACACAAAACCGGTTTCATGGACACCGACCATATCATTAAAAAGATAATACGAGGTGCGTGGCTTCTAGTTGATTTTGTGTTACTCAGCGGGAAATGGGCATTTTAGTCACTCTACAGACTGGTCTGTTGACAGCAATATGGACCCTCATCGTCCTGGCCGTATATATAGCGCTTGTGAGTCCGCTGGCGCAGCATGTTAAAGTTGAGCTCACAGTTTTGATTTCGCCAGACCAACGGCATGTAAGTGCATCTCTTGTCTGGTGACTGAAAATTAATATTCCAAAGGCATCTCGTCTTCAACCAATCTCTCGCACAATTTCACACAATTTCCCTCATGTCGACGTTGGTAGCTCGTCCACGAGATAACCCTTACACCGACTTCACTGTTGTCAATGGAGAGCAATCTGAGAGAAGGGTTCGTCATATTCTTTTGCTCGGCTCACGATGCCCAAGCTTTCCCAAAGATCAACAACTAACCAGGAAATTAGGATGATCATTTTCCTCTTGAATATCGAAATGTAAGACTTCCCCAGTCATACAAGGGCTCTCGCTTAAATTGGATGTAGATTGATCGGCGAAGGGATTCCGAGTTGGTTTTTGACGCCGTCAGCCAAAAGAAATTCGAAATTGTCCAAGGCATAGCTAAGGACACCGAGCAGTGATATAGAGCATCCGCCATGTATGATATCGCACTGTATTATTATGAGCACTGCAAGCATGTGGATAGAAGACATTTGTTCCATATTCACGATACTGCATCGAAAAGCCCGTGGTACTCTCCTACTTAAACACTAGTCTCGAACTAGACCGGTCCGGGAAGCACCAGTGGTGTTGTTTTCAAAGAAAACACCGCTTTCCAGAACGTTGGGGTCGAGACAAATTGCTTACTATACAATGTTACATACACAGAGTACGCCTCATGCAAGATAAGTTGGTACTTTACCTCACAGGCTCACAGAATGGAGGCTTTACATCTGGAAGACTCCTATCGCCTTCTCTTTATGGACTATTAGTAGTGCCACGGCTCGGCTACGGCCCGTTCTGGTTCGGTATTTACCGTCAGGTCAGAATTTCGGCAATCCCCGTGAGCCAAGCCACTGATTACTGACTTGCTCCGACTCGTTAGCCATGTGAACTTCTACAAGCCAAAAAAATATGAAGCGTGGCTTGAGCTGCTTTAAGCCAGCTTAAGCCAATTCAAGCTGAAATATAAACACAGCAGTTGTGCCTTTTCTTGATGCCTCTCAGTGTTGGTTGGATTTCCCATTGGATTTTTCTACTCTTAGGTAGCTAGGCTATTGTATATGATGGATAAGGTCCCTGTTCGAGTTGACAGAAGGTTTAGGCTGGGAGACATTTTGGGATCTGGCTCATATGGTATGGCACTCACATATTACCAGCTACATGTTGATTCAGATTTGTTGGAATCAACTTCGTCATTGTTAACATAGATTTCCTTTTCTTGTCATCATCCCACAGTATATAGTCCACATTGTCTCATCTCTCACACCTCAGTCATTGTCTTACAACACTGAGGTATGTTTTCTTTGTCTCTAGCTATCACACCACATCTTACAATAGTACCTATAGTGTGTTCATTTCTCAGGTACTATAATTGAATCAGTTGTTGTCTTACAACACTGAGTGTGTTCATTTCTCAGTTCCAACAGGTTATGAGCCCCAATTTCTGAATGAAATCACCAACTCTTGAACTTAGGAACACATTGTGTGGTGTGGGGAATTCCCCCACTGTAAGCATAAAACCCTGTCCTTTCTGCATCGTCTCACATCAGTTCTGCATATTCTGCACATTCCGCGTTTCCCACGCATCGTCCAATGAGTTCCGCATTCCTGAGCATCCTTCGGAACCCGCCCGCACTATCCGATATTCCTGTGCATCGTCGGACAACCTTCACATGTCCTGTCCCCATCCTTCCAGGTCCATTGGTACGCTGTATCTCTCTTCCCGTTGTTCCTAACGTTATCCGGATCACACTGACACATGCCCTTATGGCACGGACCCCTATTCCAGAGTATTGCGCCCATGTGCACTGCCTGCCTTCACTTCTGCTTCCTGAGAAGTTTACTACCTGTACCTCAGTGTTCCTTGAAAATAATCTTCCCTTTAAGTAGTGGTACTCAGGGCTTGGGTGTTTTTTATTGAATCCCATCTTTTACCTTCCCACTTTTCCTTCACCTTACTAGAGGACTGCTTTGACTTATGCCCACTATCAATCTAACCTTGTGATATACTTCCTTCGACTTGACCTGCAAGTTCCAATGACTCCTTATGTTCTGCATTGTATCCAGTTGAGTTCCACTTCATTTCGTTCCATTCCGCTTGGGTTCTGCTTGAGTTCCACTTGTTCCGCTTGAGTTCCGCTTGTTCCGCATTTTTGCAGATCCTCATCTTACCTGTGGTAGGGTTGAATAGGGTTGCTTAGACAGAGATTAGCACTCCCTAGTAGCAATCCCCTTTAGGGTCGAATGTGCTTGTTCTCAAGTGAGGCAGAAGGCAGCAAAGACCCAACTTCGTAGTAGATCGATTTCTCTCCACTGCACTTGTTGTACCCACAGTGGTTTTGGCAACTCACTATTATCATACATCTAAGTCTCTTCTTTTGACATGGGGAAGCTTGACCACATTCCAGAACTGATGGGTTTGGACACTTACTTCGCATGGAAGCATGAAGTCGCTTACTCTTTGGGCACTGAGGATCTTTGGTGTCATGTCATGGATAAAGTAGATCCTGATGACATTCTGGGAAATGCCTTATATAAACCCACACCTGTCATCCCTAGCATGCTGACTGCCACTGAGGTCAAGACCATCCGAGAATGGTTGATTGAAGACCTCAAGGCAAAGGCCATTATCATGTATTGTTTGTCCACTTCTGTTCAGTAGCTCATCTCTGCTAGCCACAAAGTGCTGGCTCGCGACGCCTGGAAGACTCTAGAAGATCATTTTGGACACACAGATATCAGCTCTTAGTATGTGATCAGACAAAGCCTATATGTGCTTCAAATGAAAGATGTGGCTGATGCTCTGAACTACATTGGGTGGCATGCAGTTCTCTGTGAACACCTGCTCAACATGGGTGCTACCTACTCTAATGAGGAGGCTATCTTCAAACTACTACATGATCTTCCACGATCGGCATCATGGCCCCAATTCAAGTCTATCTCCCTTGTTTCCTCTTCATCAACCCCACTCACCTTTGATGCATGTGTCACTTGTATCTCTGTGGAAGCTGCACATCTAACTGATGAGTATGCTCTCAAGAGTAAGCCCGGTTCTGGATATGCTGCTGCTGTGCCTACCACTAACAATGTCAACCCAATCACAGGGTTGCACAAGCACTGTCACAATCCTGAAGGCATGTTTTGCACTACTGTTGGGTGCAATAAGGGTGACCACAATCATGCACATTGTTACTTAAAGGGTGGGGGAATGGAAGGGCAAGCTCCCTGGCTAAAGAACAAGAAGAAGGAGATGGTTGCAGCTGCAGTTGTAGCTCCGGTTCCTGCCCTGGTTCCTTCTCCAACAGCTCCTGCTCCTTTGGCCACAATCACAGCTTTTGTGGGCTGCCAGGCGGCTGCTGAGTTGTTTCTTGCTGATCTTTCTTGTGCCTCAATCATTGAGATACCAGATGCTGATGTCATCCCTCTCTATCCTGTCAATTCCATGATTCTTTCATGTCTTGTGGCTGCTGGGTTCAACACCATCCTTGATTTAGGAATGACCACCGCTCTCATTCAAGACTGTTCCTACTTCTGGACCTACTCTACTGCAGACATTGTCACTGTGCAGACCATGAATCATGGGAGCCTTGTCATGTCTGGACATGGGGATTGCAAACATTGCATTTGCCTCATAAACTGCTTGCATGTCCCCTCTGCCATGCTCAATCTCTTATCTGTGGGCTGGATGCTAAGCAAAGGCTGGGACTGTGCCTTTCATGCTTCTCCGCCATGTTGTGAGTTGGTATATAGAGGATCTGAACTCAGGAGCATCCCCATGGCCAACAGCCTCTGTTACATCAATCTTGAATTCCTACCTGCTTCTCCATGTTCACCGCCAGCTCTCACTTTTCCCTTATTCCTGCCTGACCTTGCTGCATTCATACATTCGGCACCCACTCTTGACTTGTGGCATGCCCATCTTAGCCACATTGGGGGGGGGAATCCGTTTGTCATCTACCACTCTTTGCTACCGGTGCCACCATGCCACCCACCTCTTCCTTGTCAAAATGCAAGTCATACATTATGGGCAAGCATCCTTGCCACCCTCATCCCTCTTTTCTGAGTCTCCCCATGTCGTCTATTTTCTCAATCTCATTCACTCCGATGTCTGCGGTCCCATTCTCACCCTGACACCTCACAGCAAGCACTATTTCATCATTTTCCTTGATTATCACACCCATCTTCTGAATCTGCAGCTCCTTGCCACCAAGAATCAGGTCCTTGACACCTGGCAATTGATTCATACACGCTGGGAGACACAATCAGGCCTGCATGCGAAGGTTTTCTGTTCAGACAATGGGGGTGAGTTTCTTAATGGGGCATTTATGGTGGATCTGGAGGGGGTGGGAATTGTGCGTGCCAGCTATCAGCACCTTACAACAACAGAATGGGACAGCAGAGCGGGTGATTTGCACCATTAAGGGAAGAATGTACGCTATGCTTGACTATGCCAGGTTGCCTCCTTCCTTGTGGGGTGAGGCAGCTCTTACTGCTGCATACCTTTTTAATCGCTCTGAATCTTGCTCACTCCCTCCTGGTGTCACTCCTTATGAGATGTTGCATGGCTCTAAGCCAGATGTCTCACACCTCAGAGTGTTTGGGGCCCGCTGTTTTGCCCGCATCCCTCCTCAGTTGCAGGAGAAGCTGGGGCTGAGGTCATGTATGGCAATCTTTATAGGGTATCCACCTGGTGTGAAAGCTTAGCATTGTCGGGATGCTGTCACTGGCACTTTCTTTAACTCTTGAGATGCCATATTTGAGGAATCATTCTTTACTTGCCCTTCCCCTACAGATGACAGTGAGGATGATTATGATCATGAGGCTGTTCCTGCTCCCCCTTTGTGTTAAGGTCGTGCTCAAGGGAGAGGTTGCTCAAAGGGCTTTGGCTTCAGCTTGTGCACTGCACCCCTTACCCGAGTACGTGCCCTTTAATTTCCAGGGGACAGAGGGGAAGTCCGACGGAAGTCTGGGGAGTTCTGGAGGACTTAGTGTCGGTGGAGTTTGGCAGAACTCCGGAAGGATTATGTGGGGACGAAGTAAGGCTACTATGGAAGTCCGGAGTAGAAACTGAACAGAGGTTAGACTACCCTAAGGTAGAGCCAGAGAAGTAGTCCTAAGGTTTAACCCCTAAGACTCGGAGGTGGACAAGAGGTGAGACTCAAGTCCGGAGATTGCAGGAATGAGCAGAACTAAGATGATATTTGAACTGAGGAGTTCCGGAGTATTACAGGGGTTTATATACTGTAGGTATCATGTAGGTAAATCAGTCAGCAAAGGCAAGGGCTATGTACAAAGCATGTGGAAAGTCTATTACTAAGTATAACAGATCAAAGCAGTGAAGTCGGAAATGAAGTAAGAGTGGACGGATCAGTAAGCATAGCGGAATAGGACATAACCGGTGACCGGAGCAATAGCTAATCTAAAAGGAGTTAGGGGTGAGTGCGGAGATGAAGGCGGAGCGCTGGGTGGAATAGTAAGATGGAGAACTGGACTTCAATGAAGTAGACCCGGAATTCCGGATCCGGAGGTATGGGATATGACACTTTGATCGATCATGCACCAGCTCCCATGCCACCTGCTGTTAGAGACCATGCTCAGATGGAGAAGCGGAGGGGTTGGGGCTTGGCTTCAGCTCTTATGCTGCGCCCTTAGCCAAGTATGTGCCCTGAATTTGGAGTGGATCTGACAATGTCTGATGATAGGATGAGTGGACCACTTAGGTTTGCTTTGGTGGGTTAAGAAGTAAGAGCCGCTAGTGGTAATCTGACTAGGGGCGGAGTGGAGAAGGTGGGGGAAGTTTATTGGGATGGAGGGGAGCAAGGGGATTGGTTGGTAGAGTCGGAGAAGTAAGAGTGAATACTTTAGAGCACAGCTCTAAAGTTGGAGCAGAGGGTTGGAGGTGACGTCAAGGTATACTTGTGTCTGGAGAGGGAGCAAAGTCCTACGGAGAATTCCCACTAGTAGAGACAGCAGGAAGACAAGTAATATTAAGACTGGGGAGTAGGTAAGTACAGGATATGTTTTTATATACTTCTATGTAGGAGGCAGTGAATAGTTAGTACTTGGTAGGAGGCTATGTGCTGAGCATAATTTGTAAGTAGGTACAGGTGAAAAACACAAGTCGGGGCAGATATCAATATGTATGCATCGGATCAGTTAGTCGAGCAGTTATAGGAAGTACTGGTGATCCAGGAAGTAAGTACTATGTGCAAATGGGGAAAGTATATACCTATATGGGGAAAGGAGATTTACAGTAGAATGGATGATGCAGAAGGTAACTGATGAGGCAGTCGAGCGGAGCTGTAGGAGCGGATGCAGGAGCCAACTGGGATGAGCGGGGAGCGGACAGAGCAGAGGTGGTAGGAAAGTGGGGGAAGTATGATTGTTGGGTGGAGTGGATATCAATAAGTGGAGCGGTTGGATCAGGTATATGACACCTGCCCTTCCTGCTGCCGCAGCAGTCAATCCAGCTGTACCCCATCGTTCTGGTTGCATCCTCAATCCTACTGAGTGTGGGAAGCTCTTTTGAGACCAACTTGCTGCAGATCAAGTGTGTCTTGCCTGTCAGTGAGACCTACACCTGGCTTGTGTCCAGGGCATTCCTCCTCCTGACAGTGCAGCTGACCTTGTTCCTCCCATCTCCATTGTTGCAGAGCCACTTCCCTTACCTGCACCTCAACATCTGCCCCCTGCCCTCAACATTGACAGAGATGCCATTCATCCTGAAACTGAAACCCATGGCTTTCCTCATGTCCTCGCCAACCTCATTGTAACAGAATGGGTCTGCATCTCCATTTGCAGCAATACTCAATGCAACCCTCAGGCTCCTGGCTATGACATGAAAATCCCTCCCAACACTTATGACAAGGCTATGCATCATTCTGATTGCGTGTTAGGTACTGTGCTTGGATAGAGAAGCAGAGGGGTCGGGGCTTGGCTTCAGCTCTTGCACTGTGCCCTTAGCTGAGTATGTGCCCCAAATTTGGAGTGGGACCAACATTGTCTGATGATAGGATGGGTGGACCACCTTGGTCCACTTTGAGGGTTGGGAAGTAAAGGCTACTAGCAGCAGGCTGACTAGGAGCAGGGCGGATGGAGCAGGGGAAGTAAGTCGGAGTGGAAGGGGATAAGGGAATTGATTTATTGGATGGAGGAAAGTAAGAGTAGTTAACTTAAAGTGCAGCTCTAAGTCGGAGTGGAGGAGTGGAGGCGATGACAAGATGAGACTTGTGTCCAGAGTGAGCAAGGTCCTATGGAGAATTCCCACCAGTAGAAACTGAGGGAAGACAAGTAATATTAAGACTGAGCTACCAGCTAAGTACATGATATGTTTATATCCTTCTAAGTAAGGAGGCAGTGATCAGTAGTCCATATCATAAGGCTATGTGCTGAGTATTCAATTTTTAAGTATTACTACAGAGGAAAACATAAGTCGGAGCAGATATTAATATGTACATGATGGATCAGTAATTGAGCAGTTATAGGAAATACCAGTGATCCAGGAAGTAAGAGCTATGTTCCAAAGGGGAAAGTATATATCTAAATGGGGAAAAAGGTTCCAGTTGAATGGAACCTATACAGAAGGTAACCAATGAGGCGGTCTGTCATATACTGGATCCAAGCACCTCCAGTACCACCTGCAAACATCCTCACTGCTGGTCCGACCCCCTGTTTCCCTATCCGCTCCATCCCTCCTTCTCCAACAAATGCATGAAGTGCATCTCAGCAGGACTAGCCCTGCTACCTCTGCCCAACCTCGCTCCACTCCTCCGACACTACCCCTATTTCCTCTGACATCATATCCCTACTATCTGACTCTATCTGGAGCTCCACTCCTCCACCCTATTGGTCCACCCAATCCTACTCCTACTCCCTCCACCATCTCTGCTTTTCCAACCTGCTCGGTTCCTCCAGTTCCTCTCGAGTCGCTCCATCCGACTATCGGTCCACCCGACTGCCTCACTGGTCCACCCCTAGACTAGGAACCACTCAACTGATCCTATCTCCTTTTAGTATCATAGTTCCTCCTTTCGGATCACCGGTAATCCTTATACCTGAGTGATTATTGATTCATCGCATACATACTGTTCTCCAAGCCCCTTTCTCGTACGTCTCAGTCATCTTTCTAATAAGTCTGTACACTCAGCACATAGCCTTCTGCTATGATATGCTACTTACTTAGAGTATATAAACTTATGTACATTTGTCTGTAGATCTTCAGTCTGAATATTACCTTTTCTAAGCCCTGCTCTCTTGTCCTGGTTCTTGGGCAAAACCCTTGACCACTCCTGTCTGCCGGCCTAGGGGATTGACTCCCTAGGTCGGCCGCCTTCTCTGCTCATCTGACTTCCCGTGCCTTAGCTGCCTTTCCCATGCATTGGACTTATGGCTAATACTCTTGTACCTCTGTCCTCCGCATTTCCATTCTGCTTCAGACTTTGTTCAAGCAGTTTCCTCTGCTCTGTTCCTACTGTTAGATCTGACTGCAGTAGCCCTTGACTCTCCCCCATAGGGCGGACCAATCTCCGCCCAATGTTCCCATGCTCATCTAGTAGTCCATCGGCCCTCCTTCGGAGGACCTCTGCTCCAACGTCCTGTTGGAGCTTGTAGAAACTCAAGTTGGACTACAACCCGAAATTAGGGGCACATACTTGGGTAAGGGGTGCAGCGCATGAGCTGAAGCCAAGCCCCTCAGACTCCATCTTACCCCTGAGCACGGTCTTAACATGGTCAAGCAGGAGTGTTGGAGTGGATGTGGAGACCAACTGGACTGAGTGGAGACAGGTGGAGCAGGAGTGGGGGGAAAGTGGAAAGGGTATAGGGTTGGGCAGAGTGGATATCAATGTTGTTGGAGTGGTTGGATCTGGTATATGACATCATGACTTGTGGCTGGCAGCCATGAAATGGGAGATGAACCTCATTTTGGGAATGAACATCTACAAGCTTGTTCCCCTTCCTGAGGATTAGAAGGCAATTGGTTGTTGGTGGGTACTTGAGTTCAAGGAGGGCCAGAAGGGTGGTTCCATTTTCAAGGCATGTCTTGTTGCTCAAGGATTCTCACAA